AAAAAAAAAAAAAAAAAAAACTGGTGAAAAGAGAAAAATTTTGTAGGACGAGACGTTGACCGATTATCGTCGCGAGCTTTCGGTCTACTTACGAGCATCAGCGAGAGCGCGCACCTACACGGGAACACGTTAATGACGCGAGCGCGAAGAAACTCGACCGCTGACCTCCTCGGCTCATCACCGCCATCATCGCGATCTATTAGACTTCCTTTCTCTCTTTCACTCACTCGCTCACTCACTTTTTCTCTCTCTCTCTATCTCTCTCTCGTCGTGTAAGCAGCAACGAAAATCACGATAGTCGGCAGACTTAAATCCCGAACGAGCTATCGTGACACCGATAACGCCGCCCGAGCTTCAACAAGAATCGTGCTTGAGTGTCGTCGACTACACTCAATAACGCCTCATCGACTCTCTCTCTCTCTCTCTTGCTCTTTCTTTATTACTCTCTTCGTCTCTTTGTCCGCAGTTCTCTCCGAGTATTTATTTCTTAAAGACAAAATATCGTGATTCTTAGCGGATTACTTTTGAAATAAGACGACGGTCTTTTGCAAAGTCTTCGATGAATTGTGTTACACGCTTCGCGTAAAACAAATGTGAAGCTTATATGTAACATTAACACACACAAACACACATACACGCGCGCGTGCGCGCGAACACATTTGCAAACGCAAGTAAAAGAGATAAAGTTATATTTGTCTTTTCTAATGGAGAAGTTTCTAAGGGAGCTGATTCTTCTTTCCTCTTCGTAGTTTTTCTTTTTCATTCGACATCGCTCTATCGGCCCGTTCTTCTTCCTCGGAAAGAATTCTTTTTAGTCTACTCTGCACGTTCGTACAAGCGTTTCTTAATCTCTCTTTGAAGTCGCTCGCGGAGAGAATCTGTCTGGTTTTTTGTAAGTGTGTGCGTGCGACGATAAAAAAAAAAAAAAAAAAAAAGTTCTCATTAGCGACGAGCCGAACTGTGAACTAAATTCCGAAATATTCGCGAAGAAAAAAACGTGTGGCGCTCGCTTTGTCCTCGTCCTTTTTTGCTTTGAGTTTTCTTTTCTTAATATTTATTTGTCGTAAAATATGAATAAAAAAATACTTTTTTCTTTTCTCTGTCTCCGCGCGTGTGCCGCGCGTTCGTTTGAAACTCCGCAAATAAATTAAGTAGCGGTTCGAACGCACAAGAGCTTTCTGAGCGAATGTAAATTGACAACTCTCGATAAATAAACAATCGATCAATTAATCGAATCTATCCATTATACTCTAGTCATTGCGCATAATTCAATCTGTTATCAAACGATATAATGAAACTTCGTGTTCACCACCACCGCGTAATATATCGTAATCTATATTCAATGTAATTTGAATTGTTTAAAGATACGATTGGATTACAATTATGAATATGCAGTTGTCGCTCATTTGGGATATATTGCTTAGTCGTATATATTGATGGCGCAAAATTAATGATATTATGACGTTGAAACCGATTCTTGTTTCGACAACAAACTCGTTGCGGAGAGCTAACGAGGGAATATCCTCGATATTATGTTGCACTTGCAGGGCATCCCCACGTTGATTATCGCGATAGCTGGAATCGACGACGCTGCGTCAGTCGCGGTTTTCGGAATCGTCAAGAGCGTCATGTTCTCCCATGACGCGCTGTGGTACCAGATCCTTCAGGGTCCTATTGCCATCATCGGCGGACTGGGATTCGGCGTCTTGTGGGGCTGGATGGCCAAATACGTGCCAGAGAAGGGCGACGTAAGACATTATTGTAATATTACTTAAAATTGAAGAGAGAATTGTTCTAGTAATTGTTAAGAATGTTACATTTAATCTTGAGAATTGTTTTTTTATTATACAATATTTATAATTAATATTATATTAATATTAATATTAATATAATAGAGTATATTAGAGTATATTCAACGCTACATATCTGAGAATTTTTTTAAACAAATATCTGACCATCGAGAAGACAGCACATGTAAGACAGTTATTTTCCCAGACAGCAAACGTCCGAAAGACGTTATAAATAATATAGATGGCTAAAATAATTTAGACGTTTTTTTTAGATATTTACATTTAATGTCTTTCGATTTTTTATGCTATGTGGATTATTCTGCGCTTGGCGAGATTCGATGCGATATCGACATCATTCGTTTTTCGATGTTTCGAATGAAGATTACGGATTTTTGAAATTGCTTGCAGTGCGCCGCGTGAATATAATGGTTCCGTACAATTAGCATATCTTGCGTAATAATCTGAATCGGCGAACCGCGCGAAATCGCGCAAGTCGACTGTTCCAAATACGCGAGATAGAAGAATAAAGAGTAACGGCGGAAATAGGGTCAACCCCGGCGGGAAGTCGTTCACCCCACACACCACCCCCGCTCTCGCGCGCGCGATGAATCTCCCTCGTACATACATACATATCCGCAGTAGATTCCGCTGCATACCGCGAAAGCGCTCGCGAGGATGGAGTACACGCGCAAATCCGAATAAATCTACTATCGCGGGATAAATCCACTTACGGCGGCTATCATTTGGCCGTGAAAATCTTGTAAACACTTTATGAAACGCGCGCGCGATCAAATCCGCGTCGGAAACCAACAAGTATACGAGCGCTTTTCGAGCGTTTTACGCGAGCGCGAAACATTTTCCAATACTTCAAATTTTCGAGCGCGCGCTCAAAAACGTTTAGACATTGTTATTTAATTTAAATGCGCACACATGTGTGGACACGCACACACAATAGTTATTTCGCGAATTATTTCGCAGACTCTTTTTTTTGCTGTAACGAAAACCGATGTGAGTCTCTTTCTCTTTTTACGTCGAAAATATTAAAAATCTTCAGGAAGCTACATTTTAAAGAGCGCGCTCTTACATTTAATACAGAAATCAACAAGTAGTTTATTAATTAACGGAAGCGCGCGTTGTGCGCAAGTTTATTTGTTCTCAATAAGTTTAGCGCGAGAGCTCGAGTTAAACTTCGGTTTCGAATTTCCGTTTAGATGGATAGGGATAGCGCGCCCGAAACAACAATGAATTTTCTTCAAAATAATGCCAGGCTGCATCTCGACGACTCGATCGCTTTCTGACAACATTCATATACATACATATACATACATATAGTTACGCAATGAGAGGAGAGTTATCCCCAAGAGAGATGATGCGATCCCCAACTCGGTTTTCTTCCGTTGATTGCGCGAGATTTGAAATTCAATTAAATTTAGCTGAGAGACGAAGTCTCTTCTCTCTTTCTCGGTGGAGGCTTCGGTGGTGCTATCGATTTAGCTGAATTAAATGTTTGTGCGCGCGAATCCGGACGAAGGAAGCGGGACCGGGAGTGTGTGTACACTCCCGGTTACCGCATCGGCACCTCGTCCCTCGTGTCTAAAGTGTATCGTTCACGTAAGAGATTAGTAGCGTTGCAGTGCTGCGGCAATGGTTGCAGTATATATTCTTAGCTCGCTGTAACCTGATTTGACACTTTCGGAATGAACTTCACAGCCACTTCGACCTAATACCACGTCAGGTCAGGAAGATGTTATTCCTGGACGACTTCGTTTAAAATTGATTAGTCGCAAAATCCATTTTGCACCATTAATTGTCCGGACCCGCTGAGATTCAACTCAGATTTGCGCGCGACGCACTTTTTTCGACGTTTCGTATCAGTTATAAATTCCCGAAAAATTACAAAACAATTCTCTCCTGTCGATATTTGTTACTTTTTCAATTCAAAATATCAAGCTCCTTTTTGTCAAAAAAAAAAAACAAAAAAAAACACGTAATTAAATTATCGAAACATACGCTAAATAAAAGTGAGCTCGAACTCTTATATTCGATGCTGTCGTGATCTAACTACGTCGTCGCGCGCGTGTTGCATATATCAAGCGTAAGAGAAAGAGAAGAGACTTCACATTTGGAAACTTAATCTTTCATAATGAGATCGATAAATCACTCGGTAAATCGTAAAACACACACGCACGCACACGGCGCTCTTGAATAGATCCTAACACTTCGTTTACGTGCTAATGTTGCAGCCCTTCCTAGTGCCTCTAAGAGTATTGATGTTACTCGGAGGTGGGTTGTTGGCGGTTTTCGGCAGCGAGGCAATTGAGCTCGGTGGCGCGGGACCGCTCGCGGTTGTGGCTGCAGCTTTCGTCAGCTGTTACTTCTGGCAGCAGGAAGGCTGGGGAGTTGACGATGTAAGTACAGATTTGCATAAAATTGTCGTCAAAACTCCGCGCATTAAAATTACTACCATAATTCTAACGTAGGGGTAGTACAAAAAAGCAAACCTCATTAATGGACTTGGGTGCGTTTAATTTCACTTCAGAGCAGATGTGAGAGATAATCAATTTTGGTTATAAATGAGAATCAATTTTAATCAATCAAAGCGCGCAAGAATATTAAATATTTAATCAGCCGAAAGAGAAAAAGATAGATAGATAGATAGATAGAGAGAGAGAGAGAGAGAGAAAGGAAGAGGAAGAGCTCGCTCTCCGCAACCCCAATAACTTGAACTTCGTGAAATATTCAGGCCGACGTATCGCCGCTATCCGGCGGGGTGTGAATTGGGAGTCAACTGGCTCGTTCCTATTTCCGCGTCGTGTCGCATTCCCGACTGTCGAGCGATGGCGGTAGCGGCGACGGCGACACGTTCTTTCGCACGCATTTCGTGACGTGACTGTAACTGGCATCTGTCGATACTATCGCCGTATGATACGCTCGCTCGCGCGCACGTCGATACTATTCATACCTCGCTTAGATTAATTACTGGCGAATAATTGCGTCACATAAAAGCTCACGGCCGCGACACAGCGACGTCCTGCATATTGTTCTTGAATAAAGATAAAGACTCCTTTTATTAAACGGCTCTAAGAGATCTTTTTTGATTAATTAGTTTTTGAAGTATATATATACGTGTATAGGCGCGCACGCAATATACGTGCGCAAATATTATATACATAATAACTTTTTTACACAATATAATAAGTACATTAATTAAATATTATAGTCATTTATGAGAAATTGAATATACGCGTACGGCGTAATATTCCATTTGTATGCAATTAAGTTAACTTTTTCCTCACAAGAAAAGATAAATGAATAAATTTTCAATATCGCAGTAAAAAAAAAAAGAGCTACGTTTTTTTTTTTTAATTAAAAAGATGCGCGTCGTGATGTTCTTGCACCGCGCAACCGAATTATGCCGCATTATCCGGAAATTTGCGCGGGATTAAATTAAATAAATCAATATCGACGAGAGATTTCCCACGCACCGCGAGAGCGTGTAAACAATAGCGATAAATACGAGTCTGCACGTTGCGTGAACTCCCAGATATTTCGTATTTCGATGCGGCGGCGCGTTGGAAGATTTCCATATCCCCGATATCGAGCGCACACGGACAATGCAATGCGATATTATCGGCCGCGAATGCCGAATCGGCTTTCCTTTAAAGGAAATTTCGCAGAACGTCATTATTCGTACAGTTTTTTTTTTTTTTTTTCAATATTCAGCGTTACATGCACCTCCGGCAAATTGAATTGCACTCTGTCTTCTATTTTTTTTTGCTCGTGCGTCTATCTAGTTATCAGATGTCACTTACGACGGAATTTCTTATAGGTTTTTTCATCATTTCACATGTCCTCTATCTGTTTTTGCGCATTTCAGAATCCGGTGGCCACGTCATTCGAGATTTTCTGGATGATATTCGAACCGATTTTGTTCGGCGTCACCGGCGCGCAAATCAAAATCAGCGAGCTCGAAGGCAAAACCGTCTACCTCGGACTGAGTTGTTTAATTGCCGGTATTGTTATTCGAATTGCGATAACAATATTGGTCGGGATTGGTTCGAAACTCAATACGAAGGAGAAAATATTTATCGCTTTGTCCCTGATGGTTAAGGCGACCGTGCAGGCGGCTCTGGGTCCTGTCACGCTTGACGAGGTCGACAAGAATGACGAACGACAGGTCGAATACGCCGAAATGGTGCTGATGCTGTGCGTGCTCTCGGTCGTTCTTACCGCTCCGGCAGGAGCTATCATTATCTCCCTATCAGGACCGAAATTATTGACGAAGACTACCGTTCCGGTCGCACCCCCGGAAGCTTGGAGAACTCGCAGGCCATCAATTCGCGATATCTCAATCATCAATGAAGATCCCGACCTTGAGGAAACTGCGAACGAACGGAAACTCTGACAATCGCGTACTATTCGGATTCAAAGTCGCGCTGCGAGCTCGTTTTCCGAGAGTGTCACGGTTCCTCAAGGGTTAAAAGACTCGATCGATGCGCGGAAAATATTTCAAGAATTCGGAAGACGATGAGATTACAAATGGATCCGAATTAATCGTGTCGCAACAATTATTGACGTAATTATTGACAATTAACCAACTGACATTGTTTTAAATGCTTATATTAACAGAGATATGAGTAAGTAATATCGTAGTAGTAAGAAATTATATATTTGAGACGGCGTGGCTCGTTTTTCCGCGTCATTCCGAGAAATACAAAAAAAAAAAAACGCATTTCTATAAAGTGTAAAAATGTTACGATTCAGACAAATTCTGAAAAATATTACAAACTGATGAGAATCCGGTTATTGAAAATCTACAAAGCTAAGAATCGATGAAATATTATGTGGATTTTTAAATATGAATATCCGTCATATTTTTCGATAGATTTATTTATAATAATATTATATGTGTATATATATAAATATATATATATATAAATTTCTCTTTTTCGTGATTTTACTTCGTGAGCACGAACATATATATATATATATATAAATAAAAGATTATGTAAAAACATTGTTATTACACGTGTACATAGTTTTGCTGAATTCACACGTTGATTTTATATCTCTATATTATTTTTTTAAATAAGACGAGGCTGTGCGTTTTATCTGTTTGATACGTAATGATAACAATTTAACGATTTACATTGTTGTTGCAAATATTTACATCGTTATTTCCACGAAAAAAAGAAAGTCGATTGCTATCTCTCACATCTGTTGCATAATGATATTTTTGTAACACACGTATGAAATGTGAAATCAACATCGCACGTCGATGATATAATTATTCACAATGTATAAAAAAAAAAAATCACACGTTGATTTTAGCCGCTATAGTTCCGGCTGATTAATAAGATTAAATAACGTCTGCGTTATCGCAGATTTTACGATTTTAAATAAAACGTGTCGGAAATAGAGAAATAAATCTCGCCGCGCGAGAGAAGATGCCAGGTCCAACATTACAGAAGTCACACCAGTCACACAAAGTTTATATTACGAGATCTTCTTATCTCTTTCTTCAAAGGAGGCTCTCGTCTCCAGAGAGATTTCTTTTAATGTGAAAGGAAAATAAAAAAACCAAAACTCTAGATTTGAGTCGCAAACTATGTACAAATTAATCTTGACAAACTTAGATTTGCTTTTTGCGTTACTTTAAAATAAAGTAACTTAAGCCGTTGCGGATCAAATTGTGGCTGCGTTCCGATATTAACTGCCAATATTATAAAATCGTCTTTGTGTCACACATATGTGTCATAGATTTCCAGTACGGTGGCGGTGAATATCGGAACGCGCGGTCAATATATGTACGTCAAACTTGCCAACAAATACGCGTATGAACGTCGCCATTTTGAAGATTGCTACTTTGATGATGATGTTCTCTCGTGCTGACGTCCGGTATTATCGTACCGTATCATAAACACAGGAAATTCCAGAACGGAACATAAAGTACATAACATAGTTTGTAAAAGAACGTGGAAGTGTGAGAGAGAAAAGATCGTCGCGCGTCTATCTGAATTTATTGGGATTCAATGCCGGCCCAATATTTATATAGCTCGACGTTTTACAATATATAATCGCATATCAGATTAATTATATTATGTTTCCTTAAAACGATGAATATTAACACAACTAACACACTGTTATATTATACACAAGATTGACGCAAGAGTATTCTCGAAATGAGAAGTTAAGCAACAATTTATCGGGTTGAAATGTATTTTTTTTTTTGTTCTCGATGTAGTCGTCGTCTTCTACTTTGATCGGCTTCTCGAGAGAGCACTTGTCTCATTTTGATAGAACGATTTCTCGAGACTCTTCAAAATGTTGCCGTTTGCCGCATCGATAACTTTCGCTTGTTGTTGCTCGAAAATCTTCTTTCGCGCCGAGCCATTTTTTTTTTCGGATTTGGAAACAAATCGAAATCACGCGAATGAGATAGATAAGGCAGACAGACAAATTGAGAAGTTCCGACTCGTAAAGTTTAGTCAACGCGGTTGCAAGCGTGAGTACCGATGCATTGTCTCTTGAAAATCACACTGAGAGCGCGTCTGTGCTTTGACGAATTGTCAACACAAACACACTATTGTGCAATAATGAGCCAGCGCGTTTGCCTTTTGTTCTTCTGAAAGATAAAACTTATTAACAACAACAGCAATGTGATACTACTGTCGCTATCTACACGTCGTTTCGAGTACTTTGTAATCGTCACTTTGCAATTGTCACTTATTGTATAATGTGTACACACGCACACGCACACACATACATAAATTATGTTAAATCTTTCTGTAGACTTACAGTTCCCTTTTTTTATTCGCAACGAGAACAATAGACATACTGTCAGAAATCGAGAGGAAAACATTTAGTTTACAATAATCGAATCGAGAGCAGAGAACTTGATTATACAAGAGATCAACAACTCTGCGCGTGTTCTCAAGAATACAAAAATTTACTCAATGGAAATAATTTGTAGAAGCTAATTATTTATTACTTATTGATCATATTTTTTGTATATAGAAGCTAGTCCTCTGAATTTTAAGCGGATTTCTTAGAAATTTTAAGAGCAGAGAGAGAGAGAGAGACGTCATACGTCGAAGAAAAAAATGTGTTGCAGATGTGCGTTCTAAAAACAAAGCCATGAATTGTGCGCCCGGAAAATGCCCGGCGCCTTACCTTAGGGTAAGGTTCACTCGATAAGAAGATTTTGCCGAAAATCATGCGACAGCGCGGTAGCCTGTGACTGGTAGATCTGCTGTAAAATCGACCATGAATTAACGAATAAGAGAGCCAGGTGACGCAAGGATCTAAAGTGGAAACTTATTCTCCATTCCTATTGGAAGATCCACGAATCATGCCTTACCGCTTTAGATTACGGTATAAAAGGGTAGCGTTCACAGCCCCGAGCTGTGTATTAACTTCTGCGATCGTCTTGTGTGATAGCCGCATTTACCTCTTTGATCGTCTTTGCCGTTGCCGAACTCGCTCATTACCTGTCTACGATTGTCGGAAGAAGGTAAGTTGACGCAGTTTTTTTTAAATAATTAAGGTGCTGGTGTGCTTCGTTATTAAACCAATAACACAATAATATAACAATTCATTGATATTCATTGATACAATTACAACATCACACAATTTCATTAATTGTGTTTTAATCCGAACACGCTTTACCTGGGGTTCGCCCCTCTTTGGCTACGATTGAAATTTTCGCAATATATTAACTTAATCGATTACAAGTTTCAAAAACAAGTGTATACATCCTTGAAGCAAGTCATGTTCAGTCACGATAACACAAATATCTCTCGAACAAATCATATTTGTGTTTGTGTGCATGAAGGACACGCTCTTGTATTTAAATTACACGTAAGTTTCCGATCCGCGTAACGCTCCGTTCCTTAATAAAATTAATTTCAATTTGTGTGTTAATATAAAATTATTAACCATTGTGTTAATAATTTTTTTTAACTAATAACCGAGATCCCGCCAATTCGATCTAGTACCGTTTCGCATTTTTCGGTCGATCACCAAAAATGCCGTTTCAGATAATAGAAATTCAGTTTCTGAAAAAAAGACTGAAGCATTCACACGACGAAGGAATGGCGGTGGTCGTAAAAACGGTTGACCTGTCTGTGAGCCTAACAGGTTCTCGCTCGACGTATAAAATTTCTAAATCCGTGTGTTTGGACAAGACTCAGGCTCTGTCTTTTAATGATCCGACCCAGGACGTAGACAATTATTTATCCTAAACAATCTTAACTGCTACTTTTCGCCGAGCTGATTACAAACGTAGTCGTTAAAGTGCTGCTGCTCGTACTTCTTCGGACTTTTTTGTAAGGATCTTGCAGAGTCGTCGTTGCGTTGCACGTTGGGGTCGGGTTTCCCTTTGTATTCAATCCCATACGTTTGCGAAGCGCCAGGTAAACGCGAGTTTTCAAGACGAAAAGAATGAAAATCAATAAACCTTGAAGACAATTCAAGACATCGGTGGTGTAGAGAAACACGTCCTTCCACGTCAAGTGTTGGAAGTAATTGTTTAAGAAATACGATATCACCTCGAAGGTCCAAACTATTCCCATGACGATGAACAGTTTGACGTTCATAATGAATCTGTCAAAATGTTTAAAACACTGTAAGTGTAAAATAAAAGACCGATTTTCGAAAGGAGCGCTCGGAATTGTTTGCACATTTCGACGGATTTCTGAGAGGCACGCATCTCGCTTTCCCTTGATTGCCTGTATCTCAGTGCGCACACTTCGTCATAGCTGATGGAGCGCGCTCGAGTGCCGCTTCCGAGTCGCGACACGTCGGCAGTAGTACCTCATAGGTAACGTGGAAATCTCGTATTGTTATATAATAATAATGTAGTAATACACACGCACATACGCTTGATAGAGAGTACATGCAAATGTACTATTACAAAATATCGCATTACGAATGTTGACGTAAAACATTACGACACTTTTGGAATCATTAGATGAAAAGAAGACCCGAGGTCGTAAAACCGGGTGTCCGTGTTTCAATGAGTTGTTTGAAGTATGACGCAAAACAATTAGGATCTTCTTCGGTGATTATTAGAAATACAAAAATTTTTGGAATTGCTACAGAAGTTGTGGAAGCACGTGTGTTGATTAACTAAAAACCCATTTGTTTGTTGTTACCAAAATAAAATATGTTAATAAAAGTCACGTGGAAACAATAATAATTATCATCATTATAAAAAAAATATTTCCTTTATTTTATCGTAAAGTGGAGTTTTTTTCAGAAAGTTGAAGACAGCACTGTACCTGAGTGCGCCTCGACACTAATGACGAAACGGAGATTGTTGCTGAGGCACTGAGGTAGACAGGTAAATGGAAAGCGAGAGGAGTGCTTCTCAAGAATTCGGTGAAATGTGCAAATAATTTCGAGCATCCAGATACGATCACACATACATCCGAATAATTTTATATTTTTTGATTAAAAAATATAAAATTACACACATTTGTTTTATTTAAGTAATTTATAAATTTACATTTATATTTTTGATTAAAAATATAAAATTATAAAAAAAAAACAATTATATGGAATATATAAAGAGAATAGCTATTTAAAACTCGATACAACAAAAACTCGGTGGCTATTTGTAACTTAATACAAAAAAACGTTTTGACATTTGTTTTACATTTTTCTTCAAATTGATGGTATCAGATAATATTTTCAAAAGAAATGACGTGTCGTAATATTATTTTGCGCGTGAATCTTATTGATTATTTTAAGTTACGTAAAAAAGCAAAACTATATAGTCGTCATTGGAATAAACGAAGAATGCTCTTCCGAACACGTGCACTTTTATTTCCGGAGGAGAGTTTTTTGTTTTAAATAGTTTAGCAATTTTTCTCGCGTAGGTAGAGAGGTTGTTCCAAAACCAAGTTCGAAGAAGTGTTCTCGATAATAAAAACAGATATTTAAGTCTCACAGTTACGCGGTAAAAATTTATGTGTTACTCATTGCAAATTTATATTACGAGAATTTTTATCGCGTTTAAAAATAAAGAGAAAATCGTTGATTATCGGCAATGTGACGTAAAAGACAAACTCACCTGTTTCTGTTGGAATGAAATCGCCTGCTCGCTATGGTGTCCGCGCTGACTTTTTGTATCTCTATTTTCACCTTGTTGTAATGTACCAATGTGAAAATAAAGAATGTCACATTAGACATCAACTGAATTGTCACCGGAGCGATGAAGAAAATTAACTCGCTATACGAAGACTGTTTCTCTGCAATAAATTGAATTAAAAATTACCTTAAAAAATATATCTCTCATATATTAAATATATTGTAAAATTATAAATATATTTCTTGTATTATTAAAAAAACTGTATGACACGCGTATTGTGTATACAAACGTAAAAATATTGTTAAAAGATATTGTCTACCTAATGCGTGTGTGTGTGTATTATTAAATATTTTTGCAAATAAATAATTACGTGCTCTAAGTAGGATTCATTTGCGTTAAAGAGTATTAATTCAATAATATGACTTTATTAGTAGTTTTGCTTTGCTTTAGAACAGCAGCGCCGGCATTTTGTTGCGAATTTCTCTCCGGTTCGTTATCAGGCGCAATTACTTTGGCGATATAAATGATACTTATTACGCGAGTAGTTAGTTTCGTTGCACTTTATATATTGAGAAGCAATGATGCTTGAATTCGCTGTAGTTTGAATCAATACAACTGCTCTGAAGGAAACTTTTTAATTATCGGATAATTACGACGATAGGAACGATCAAAGAAAGCTTTGCGTTTGCCTTTTTCTCAATAGAGTAAACCTGAAACGCCAAACGGATTTTCCCAACTGCAAACTCATCCCGAGTTCATTCACTCGCGCAAGATATAAAATTAGAACAACAAGCTCGATGGAAAATATTTGAAAGTCAAATGAAGCGCGCAAGATCGAAAACTATTTCAAAAGAGCTGCGTGTGTACAAAATTAGTGTAAACAAATTTATATTATCTCTTCTAAACAGCAATTTGGTAGATCACTGGCTAATGACTCACTTGAAAACCAACATCTTTCAATGGCGATATCAGGTTTCAAATATTTTGGTAGGATATCCGTGCAGTCAGCAAAGATCGTCAGCGATGACAGCACGAAGGAGAGACCCCAAGCGTTTAAACAGTACAACAGAAATCTCTTTTTATGTCCACGCGCCCTTGCAATCGTACTTCCACGTTGAACTCTGTTAGAAAAAAAATTATTTATTAAGTTATTTTTATTTAACATTTAAAATTCAATATATCGTCGAACAACATTCGAATGAAACTGAATGAAAGTTATAGGCGTAAAATACGTTTCGATCATTCAAATGTCATGTCAAAAAGATGAATCATCTTGGCACATCAAAGTCAATTCGATGAATCATTAATCTGCAAGGATCTAAGCGTAAAATTCCACGGAACGTTACACGAACGTAATTCGCTTTCGACGCACGGCGGAAACTGAATAACGCGAGAGCGGCGAGACTCGTAGAATTCTTGATCGCGTACAGCATTAAAGATCGTATCATCTCGTCGGCGACGCCACCGACGCGGGGATCTATTTTCTCCGTATATTTACAAATCCTCCAACTAGAATAGCGTCTTGAACACACAAACGTTCGTAAGCGCCAAGGGGACGACAGGCAAGACGCGGTCTCATACGAAGAGAAGTCATTTTTGCATCATATCTCATGCTGAAGATAACTTCTCTCGCTAGTTTTTAACGAAAGTTCTTCGAGAAGATTTATTGTTGTAATCCACGTTTACATTAGCGCGTTGTGTTCAATTGAAACAACAAAAAAAACAAAAACGTAAACAATAAATATTCGACAGCAATTTATTTATTTTTTTTTTTCCCCGATATGTTGCAGATTTCTCTTCGAATCTCTTTGTGAATAGTTTGCGGCGCGTTATGCACATAGTGTCGGCGCTATATAAAAACGCGTTGAGTCATTTCGGTATTTAATGTTCGGTGTGTGTATATTTTTTCTTCTTCTTCCAGTAGACACGTGGTGTGCGATGAGAAATTTCGAAGAGAGGCTATTGCGCTCACAATGAGAGGGTTAATGGAAACGGCACGCACACAAACGGCGACAATGAGATATTTTTATAGAAGTCAATTGGGAACCATCGGATAAATAAGACGCCTTCGCGATGAATTTTCTTAAACCTCATCGTTACGTAATTTAACTAATTTTGTTGTTGGCGTCACTTAGACGTTTTGAAAGTTTATTTAGGATATGCTGTCCGCGTCATTGGCCTTTTTTTTTACTGAGTCGTGTCATCTGAGCTATCGGCGCTTTCAGGCGTTCGGTATTTATTACCGAGTACTTGATCTGATGACATTTGATGCTTTCGCGGTGTGTTGTAATAAAAATTTCAGAAGATGCTTTTTTTTGTGATTTGAACCACCGCGTTAATGTTGTTTTTATATCGACAATTCGGTTTGCTTCATCAGAATTCTAAGAACAGCCTGATATCGAAACCTTGATGAAGCGAACGGAAACGTTAGTATAAAAAAATGACACTAACGCGTTTCACACTCAAAAACCATCTTCGGGAATTTATTATCGATGTTCATATATTTTTATATTGATTCGCCGCAATTCAATGACCTTCAACGACTTTTTTGCTTTCTGCAGAATGCGCGCTAGCGAAAAGTTTTGTCACGCGGGTTTGCGTCAGACTTCGCCGTCAGCAAAAGGGTTAAGGAACCCAAGCAATCGGTTGACGTAGAGGAACGATTATTGATTTTCCAATTTGTGTCCAATTTCCTCAATTACACATAACACCATTTGATTCGATTCGCACTCACCCGAAAGTCCACCATATGTCGAAGCACATGACGTTCAGCCAGGAAAACGCCGAGAGGAAGGAAAACAGCATGGTGTAAGCTGAAAAAGAAAACAAAAGAAACATCGTTCCTGACGCTGTTCGTACGCAATTTTTCTCGCTCGATCGAGGATAAATAAATGCGTATCGCACTAACCTACCTACTACTTTGCACGTTATGGGAGCATCATTGGCGTTAATTTGATAGGTGATCGCTAAACAGATATAGGCCGAGAGCAAACTGCTCACGTAGCACATGAGCGTTTTTCCGTGAAGATTTCGCAGACTCGGAAGACACGCGTACACCAGCAGAGTGATTAGAGAAAACACGCAGCTGACGATCAGCAGGACGAAGTTCAGCAGCAACCTGTCGGACGGGGAAACATATCGCAAAAAAAAATTTACAAAATATTTTTTTCACGCGATGTGTGTGTGTGTTTGTTTGACGGCCCGAGATTGATCTATTCCGTTTTATTTCGTCTCAATTTGAACGGACGTTGATAAATGTCTTCTTTTCTCCCACGCAACTCGGACAATCTGCAGAGATTTTGTACATTTGCCGAGCTTACTGTTTTATCGCGCGCCGGGGTTTGTTTGACTTGACCGAAGTTTAATCAAGTCAGACCGCTCCCGGTCGAGTGTTTCGAAATTTAACAGAATTCGCAGCAGGGACATTCGGAAGAGCATTGTTACGAAATAATATGTGATATTATATGCTCGTAACAAACGCGTTATTCGCTTTAATTTTCGAATTTATCTCGGAAACTCGTGGATAGTTTTTTTTTTTTTTTACATAATTTCAAGTTGACACAAATCTTTACAATATAATAGTTATTAAATAATGCGTTTTTTAAAATGTAGAAATATACAATCGCGCGATTGTGTACCTGATTTGATTGTTGTCTTTCTCTTTTTCCGGAAAGCATAAGAACAAATAAAAGTTATAGTCGGATTTCCTTTTTAAAATGTCCATACAGTATCCGTTTACGTCGTTAGGCTCATGGTAATTATTGACGAAAACATGATTGTCTGACGACAGCCACCAATCTTCTCTTCTCGGATTGATAGGGTACATGCCGTTCGTGCACGGCTTCCCAATCAAGACGCCGTAATCTGAGCAATCAAATAAAAACAATTAACATTTGTATCTCGAAAACTTTTATTATTTCGCTTACGTCATCGTTATAGAATATTATTAAGCAATTGGTATGTGTGTGCGCGTAAATTTTAAATAAGTCGTAAAGTCTTTGTTCAACCTTTGGTCGAGATGAAATTGGAGTTTTTGGTCTGATTCAGAGCGTTTGCGAAAGCCTCGTGAAACTCTTTCGGCTCGTCCGGCACAGTGAGATTGCTGCATCCCTTCGCGTACACCTCACCCTCGGCGCAACACTTCCTGATGCAAGCGTTTCGATCGCAGTAGTCCGGATCTCTGCAGACGCGCGCCACCAACTTTCGTTCGGAATACGGCATTACGTCGAGACAGGAACTATTCTCGCTAGCAAGAAATTCCTCTCTGAAGACCAAATTATTCTTTAACGACGAAACCGTCACCTGTTAAGTTATTTGTAATCACCTTTTGTAATTTTAATTCGCACCGCGTGCAACGCGAGAGAAGATATGGATAAGATTACTGATGATTTTCTTGATGTTACATACAATGTCATGCGAATGATGAGACATCTCGAGAATTTTCATTTGAAAAAAAAAAAAGAAGATTGCAACTAGGTACTGACGATTACGTGCAAGAAATATTACATGATATAAACTCCAGAGATTTTTCTTTTTACAACTTAATCAGACAATTCTGTTTCTAAGAACTTAATAATATAATTTTTGTTTTAGCGCAACGAAATAATTAATAACAATGTATGTACAAACATGTGAAATAACAGCAATAATAACTAAATCAGTTCAGTAATATTACACAAACAATTTAAAGTAATAAAATATCAAAAATAACAACATATTAAAAACCTATATTTATAAAAAAAAAAATACAGAGAAAAAAGAGAGAGACAGAACGAGAGAGATATAACAGTAAAATAACATCAATAAAGCTTGTGCAAAAACTTTTCCAAATATAAGCAAAGCGAAAAACGTAATCTTAACTAAAACGAGAGGTAATGAACGAATACGCGGTAAAAGAAAAAGATGGTGGAAAATGGAAGGATAAACCAAAATGTTCTCGAGAAAAAAATTGCAAAAATTTGATGAAGGAGTAACGGAAAGCAGTGAGAAATTTATGTGCACATGAAGAGAAACAATTGGGAAAAACAAACGAATCTCGCAAAAGCAAACGCTAACAATACGTTTAAATTTATTTATATACGTTCGAGAAAACATGTGCATACTGCGCATAAGCAGTTTGGAGGCTCACCCAGTAATTAGCGTTCCGCAAAAAAACGTCGTCTTTGTCGATCGTGTAATCGACAATCGGACCTGTGCACTTAGGCGGACCTGTGGTCGTCACCGACAGATTTGCAATCGTCGATCTGTTCGGCAAAAACTCCACGAGATTCTGTGATTCGTTCGTTTGACGTACGCAAGTTTTTGCACGTGTATCGAAAATCTCATTGGAGGGACAGCATTTTCTAACGTGCGCGAACGGCGGAAACGTAACGTTGTTCTTAATAAACGTTTTGTTGCGCTCATCTTTGTAGGATCGACAATGAACGGCTATCAAGACGCTCTTCTCGCTCGTTTGCTCGTGAAGCGTTTCAAGACAGGCCGGCATCTGCGAACACATTTCGTCACATTTCGTAAGAGTCACCAATATTTGACACATTTTTCTACGACGCTATATTTAAACCGCCGGATGGCCGGCGTTTCATATAATCGATTGCGCAAGTGGAATTGGATAGTGCGGAGTTGATTACACAGAGCAGCTTCCACGCAATTACCAAGAGATGAGATAGCATTGTTTACGAGTTAACTTATTTTTTAATACGACTGAAAAAAAAAAAAAAAAACGATCTAGATAAACACGTGTGCGTGCGAATTTATTTTTTATCGCTTACTTTATACCGGATACGTATACATACATATTCATATATATATTCTTACCTCTTTTCTAAAGAACAAAATTATGTCATGACTAAATATACTTAGACAAATGAGAGGTGTGGCTGACTATCAAGGGAGTGGTTGGTTTTCTAACTTGAAGAATATCTCCGAAATTCAAATTAACAAATTCAAATTAACACAGAACACGCACAAGTGAAATTCCATCTGATATTATACCAACGTCTCACTTTACATGTGGGTGTGTAGATTTTATTTCATCGTATATCTAAACGCGCATTTGGGTTTTTTTTTTTTTTTTTTAGATTAGAAGCAAACCGATCAGAAGACGCAATTTTCATCTCGGAGGAAATCAATTTTCCGCGAATTATCTCTTATTGTACGATTTACCTCGAAAATTTCTTCGAAATTGTTATCGAAATTGTAAAGCGGCGTGATCGTAATGTCCTCGGGTTCGTCACATCGCGGAAAGCCTTGGAATACCGCGGTGGCGTTCCACTGGAAAACTTCAGCTTCCATTCGGCTGCTGTTAGGCACCGAAACACAGTTTACCTCAGACGTGTTCCATTGTCCCGAGAAGATCTTTCCCGGTTCGCAACATTTCGTTAGATACAATTCCGATGACACTTTTGTCAAGGACAGTACAAGCAAAATAAAATTTGCCGCGAACATAATGACACATAAAGGTTTAATTGTATGTTTATCTCGCGCAAACGATCTTCGTCGCTTCTCTCTGTACGTAGTACGTGCAACTCGACGTCGCGTTCAAATTACTGCTCTCTCTCTGATTGTAACATCCGTTACCACGTAGCTGCGCTTTGAAATCAACATTATTTTTTTAAATCATCAAATAGTTCTCTTGCTCTTGTATATTTTACATCGATCTTTGTATATTCTCAATTGCCGCCACTCTTCGATTAGCACACAGACACATATAAGAGCTGTAATATATAATTTAAAATAAAATTAAAAATCTTTCTCTCGAAAAAAAATGTTTCTCTTTTTCTTATTATTCTCAAAGTTAAATTCTTGTATACAAATATTGTTTTTTTTTTTATACACTGAGTTATTGTATTCTTGTATATTTTCTCATTATTCCTCTTCTCTTCTCTTCTCAAACGTTTACGTTACTTCGGTTGAGTCAAGCTCTTGGATAGTTTTACGTCTACGCGTGTGTACGCGCAAGTGCTATTAAATATTAATAAATAAATAAGCGTAAATTTTTAATGACAAACATCTTTCGTAGTTTGTCAACTTGTTATCGTTTTTTTTTGTATCAAAAATCTGGAATTGCAAAGTTGCAACTGTCTCGTCCTTTTCCTGTTTCTTTCTCGTTTTTTTTCTTTTTTTTCCCCCGGGTGATTAAGTTGAACACCGGATGAGATGTTGTCCGCGGTTCTTTTTCACCAGAGCGCAATCGAGTTGTGTCGCGCGTGTGTTCTTCCAAGCAACGTTCCGAAGATTTATATATTTGGGCAATTAATTTTATACAACGTTATTGAATTGGCGTCACAATTAATCTCGGAGCACATCCGAGCTTCGTTACTTCGGAATAAGACGCGAAAGCTCGCATGCGACGAACGCGAGAGCGTGGTTGAGACTGATCAACTTCGTGCACGCGTCGCTGTTCGCGGGTACTAAGCACCACGTCAATGCGAACAACGCACTGGGAGAAAACCGAAACTTTAGCTTATACAACAACACGGATACACGCGAGATGTGTGATCTTCCGTCGCAAAGAGATATCGCTCCCACAAACCGTCTGGTTTGATTTGTTTCTTTTGTTCCTCGATCTCTCGATCACACTTTTTCGTTCCGCTCGTTCATGATTGACTCCGCTTATATGTCTTTTTTTCTTTTAATTTTCTGTGCTACATTGTGTTTCTCTCTACATCTTTCTTATCTTCTCTTGTTTTCTTCTATTTTTAAATATTCTTTAGCAGTTCTTGTTAATTCTTCATTCGGGTTATGACGTAAAAGAGATTGACAAACAGCAATGTCTCACAATTTGTTTTGCCAAATTGCGTCATTTCAATTAACGTCTTTTTTCATAGAGGATCTTTCGCGAATACTCGTTATGTTCCAGATAATTGTTATCGTAGTTCTTTTTTTAGAAACGACTCATCATTCCTTAATTTGTGACAACGACACTGCGGTAATATTATAAACCATCTAAAATATAGAGCGTGGGTGGCAACTTGATGTGTTCGAGAATGATTATGTTCGAGTAATTTAACAATATAGCGAGAACCGAAAATTAGACAAAACGTTTAGTAAACAGACAATTCGATTAGTAAGATTCACTTGTTAGGTAATTTTTTTAATGCGCGCGCGCATATATTTGTTTTTTTTTTCGCTAAATATAAAAAAGGATATTATATTCCTATGTGGAACAAAATATTCTTTCATTAAACGTTACAATGAGTTATAAATGTTTATTAAACCTGTTTAATGGATCTTAAGTTTGCGTGTTGAGTTATAATATGAAAAGTTATAATATAAAAATTTTCTCATAAGAAATCTGCAATCCCCGCCACTAATCTGACATCTTCGAATCTTAGACCGGTATTCACACACACACATAATCCGATCTTACATATTTAAGAGATAATTTTAGTTTATCTTATAAGATACTGTACCGACCGTTTTATCTGTACATCAGAACATCTGAAGGTAAACCTGAGATGATCTTAAATTTAAATACAAGATTCGATTGTGAATTCTTCGCCTTATCGACCAAAAGACCGGGAAATTTAAATCTATGTAGAATCAGGTCGTGTTCCTGTATTAAGAAACACATATAGTACTTTTGCGCCACTCTGGTGAATTTGTCAGAAAATTCTTTAAACTTTGGTAAAGACACTGGTATACACGATTCAGAAATTGAGATAAAGATAAAACTTACATAAATATTCAAATATTCAGAGATAGTCGAATCTTATATGTTTAAGGAAGAAGTAAAATAAAAGAAACTTTTCGTGAGAATAGAGAACGTGAAAATACAGGAATTCTTATCGTTTTTTTTTTTTTTTTTTTATTGTTTTGCTTCACTATTTCTGTCTCTATCGAAACATATCTTTAAGCTTGTATCACACTACAGGTTGCAATCTCGGTTGTAATCTCAATTGCAACTGAGTTCGTAAGTGTAGTTGGCTTTAAGCAAAACTTTGCTGAATGTAGTACACCGTCAATATGTACGACGCTTGCGCAGAATAATAGCCAATCAGAAGTGAACAGAAATTATCTACCACGGATGCAAATGCTTCCTAAAGCCTGTGTCACTATATATTAGTATCGTGGACGTGGATTGGATTGGGATTGCAGAACGCGGATTGGAATGTGGCCAATCAAAATGAGACTGCCTCGCAATGCGTAGTGTGACAATGGCTTAAGCCATCCACAGTAAACGATTTCGCTATTTCTGTATAGCTCACTCCGTTCACTTTGTCCTCTTTCGCGTAATTTAATATCTCTAGAGGTTAGTAACTCGTTTAATTTTTGCGCCGTTAATTTTTATCTTTATTGAAGAGTTAAATTATCCTTTATTGCAAATAATTAAAAAATTAAGTAGTTAGATACTGTTTATAAACTTATAAAGCCCGTTGCACAATGCGAGAAAATAGCGATAGCGATAGGCGATAGACACGGAATTTGTCGAAAATTTTATCGTTATTGCCTGTTCCGTTTTCTGCACTGATACACATGTGTTTTTGAGTGTTAGATTCCGGTGTTCCTACCGTTATTTATAAATATAACCCTTATAAAACCAGTGTTTCTTTCGCTATCGCTTTCTTCCGTGTGCAAGGGGCTTTAAATATAGTATATAACCTAATCTAACCTATAAATTGTTTGCGTTCAGCAGACCAAGCTGCTTTGTAGCAATCGAATGTGATTGGCTCTTACTTTTAGAACCAACTAATCAACGTCGAGTGTTGACAAGACAACAACTCAGCAATTGTTTATATGGATGTTCACAGGATGGTAAAATCCAGGTTTAAGCTGTGTTCCAGAATTGCTGCCGGCACGCTGCCAGTGCTAAAATTGTACAATATACGTGACGTAAACTATAGATCTTTAGCGCTGGCAGTGAATTTTGGAACACAGCCTTAGTCCACAACGATTGAATAGGCTGGGTCCACAATATCGAATCAAATAGATTACATTCGACGAATCGACCAATGTGATAGAACACAGACTTGTGCTCGCCAATGTCATTCACACAAGTGGACTTTTATATGATACAGTGATTTTGAGAAGTTCCAAGTATACATAACATGCGCAAGCCAATCTTCCATATAGAGAAGTTGTAGATCAAGCTTAGATTATTTGTTGAATTTCCCGCGCAGCTAACTTTGTATTTTGTTCTTATGTCTTATTGCGTACTTTGATACTGGTGCTTCGTAGTATAAGTTTTGTTTTTGATTTCTCAGCATTTTTCTTCTTCGATACAAAAGATGAGATGAAATACACGTGTATACACGTGTGTATTTTTTTGTTCGTTTATTGTAACTATATTTTTTTCAAGTATAAAAGCACACACTTATAAGTAAAACTATTCTGCAAAATTATAAACTGATCTCTGATTGCAAAGGTGAAAGAAATAAAACGGAAATTTGAAATGTGTGAAACCTTTTCGAATTGGAATTTTTTATCTCTTTGTTTTCCAGAACGGCGAAAGAAAAAGAGCGCGAAAGCGACACTGAAATACGTCATTGATTTGCGAAGGTTGGAATGTTACGCTTGGAAACGTTACTTGTAAACGTTTCTTGTAAAATTAGTGTCTCAAATCTAAGTTTTTCGTAACAATGGAATTTGTATTGGAACGACAACACACGAGAGACAGATCTCGTTATGTTTTTAACGAAACCCGTACCTCAGTGAGTTTATGACTAATCAGACTTATTTAGTTGAAGTTTGAACAACTTTGTATTTTGATGTTAAATATCACTATAAATTACTGGACAATTTTTATTGCATACTTTTATAATTACATCTTATATGAGAGTGTGTACATTTAAATATATTGAAATAAATATAATCTTATACTTAAATAATTTTATCCAGTTTTGTTTTGGTGTATGTACATACAATCATAGTTTTGTATATTTACATATTTAATATTTTTTCCAGCACACTTGTGGTAGAGGTAAAGACAATACAATTCTATGTATCAGTCTGCTTGTATCTCGTAAACATTGTATGTTTCTTGTTTGCAACAATATGTTATATGTTGTAGATTTGAGGGTATGTATATCTCAAGATTATAAAAGATGCACTGTACATTTGTAAATGAAACATTAGTAATCCTTTTGTGTTTTGTTTTTTTTTTTTTTTTTTTTTTTTTTAGAGTTCAAATGGTGTTTATATAAATGGTAGACTCCAGAATTCTATGGAACCAATCAAATTAAATGAGAATGACATTATTGGAATTGGCACTCCAGATTTCAATCCAAATGATGATGAAATATTTTCTTACAAAGTTTACACTATTCCAGTAATACAATAAAAATCACTGTTATAAAAGATAATAAGTTTAGTATTTTTTTTTTTTTATCGAAACATTCATTAAATTGTAGGCACCTCTAATTGAGGAAGACAATGAAATTAGCATTTTATCAAGGACATTTGTTACTAGAGAAGTGCGAAAGACACCTGAATCTTCTACAGAACGCGTAGTAGGAGAAAAATGTAAATCTAGCTCAACAAATTGCAGCAATATAACGTCATGTAAAAGACAAAAATGTTCAATTGATCATAGTGTAGCACGTAATACTTCAGAAGGTAACACTATGTTTTTTAATTGTAATAGATATATATCTACATACAAGATCATATATATTTAGACAATAAAGGAAACCAATGAATTTTCTTTTTCACTTACTGAAGCTTCTAAAATTAATTCTATGTTCACGATAATTAGAATTTATATAGGTTATATTAATATGATATAAAATTGATATAAAACTAAATTTATTGCAGATGAGTCAGATGATGAAATTGAAATCCTTCATGCATCACTTGTAAATAAAATACAAAAGCAATTTAGAGATAGTGACGCGTCTACATCTACAAAATGTTTAAATAATAATATCAAATTATCTCCCAATAACAAAAGCCATACAAATTTTCCAAATAACAACAATGCATCAGTTTCCAATGACGCGTCTACATCTACAAACTGTTTAAATAATAATATCAAATTATCTCCCAATAACAAAAGCCATTCAAATTTTCCAAATAACAACAATGCATCAGTTTCAAATGACAAATTTCATACAAATTTGCCTAATAAAAACAAAAGATTGGATTCCAATGATAAAAATTGTAAAAATAACATAAAAGACAACAATCAAAAACAAAAGTCTGATTTAAATCACAGAAAAGATGATGAGGAAATGTGCATTTGTATTGATGAAGATGATACGGACAACGACAATGACAGAGATATGAAAGAAATGCACATTAGAGAAAACTCACCGAACAATGCTGAACCACATAAAAAACATATCTTAGAAAAAACATTGAACAACGATAATAATCCAAACATCGTTAGCGATGCAAAACTCGAAAACGAAATGCAGACGGTAAATGAGAAAACGAATAATCATAAAAGAAATAATCATGAAAGAAATAATCATGAAAGAAATAATCATGAAACAAACAATCATGAAACACCTTGTGACACACCTAGTAAAATAGTAAAGCAAATAAAACGAGAACCGATGACACGATTTTCCGAAGTCAATGTTGTGGAGTTGTCGAGCGATGAGGAAGACAGCATGTTTCCATATTCTCAATTGTTCGATATGAAAAAGGACAACACAGAGGACGACAATACAGAGCACAAAGTCGAGATTAAACAGGAATGTACTGACGAAAATGTCGAAAATAGTGAAAAGATTGGCTTGCTGGATATCGATGATGAGGTTATTATTTTAACAGACACCGAAGATGAGGACAATCCGTGGTTGGAACGGTTATCCAGAAGTCAATTGCTCAACGAAGAAAATGAAAAAGATCAAGAAGAAAAGCACTCAAACATTCTTTTTGATTTGAGTGATGACGATAATAACACCAATACGTTAATGGCGAAAATAAATGCGATGGATATAGACGATGTGAGTTCTCCCAACGAATTTGATATGGCAAACGCTGATGACACAAGTAACAAACAGGAAATAGATACAGAGAATGATGGCGAATTGGATAAAAGAACAGAAAAAGATACTTCAAGCTCACCTGTATCAACGCCGGTAGTTGAAGCAAAACAAAAAAGAGTTAGAAAAACAGTTACAACACCTCTAAAATTAATTCCAATAATAGAACCAATAAAGTTAGGACCTGGGAGAAGACAACGATGCAAATATAGCAAAGATCGAAAAGCAACACCGAAAGAGAAGGTGATAACAGAAGAGAAGATGTCGAAGTTGAAGGAAAAATTAAAAGATGACTTTTATGCTAAGAAGCAGAAACACCGTAAAAAGAAGTCTGAATCAGCATCTGGCAGTCATTCACCAAATGAAGCGAAACCTGGACCGTCTATTTCTAAAAGCGAAAAACGAGTGATAATGGAAAAGAGAAAGATGAAATTAAAGGAAATAGCTGAGGAAAAAAAGAGACAAGAGGCTGCGAAAAATAATCGGGATGTTACACGCAGAATTGCTAAACCAAGAGCTAAACTAACATTAAAAAATCGAGGTGATTTCCTTCTTCCCGAGCAAGATCTCGAAGTAGATACTGAGCCAGCTGTGACTCCATCACATTCAGATATATCGGCAGAAGTGCCAAAATCGAGTAACGATGAGTCTAAACAGCAATCAGATGAGACCATGTCAAAAGAGTTTGTTACAATGTCAAAATTGATTGACGATCAACTTAAGGTTAAATTAAACAAAACTGATAAGCCTAAAGAGTTAAGAGAAAAATCAAAATCGAATAATGATCGATCTAAGTTATTAAATAAAACTGATGTGCCAAGAGAGTTTGTTGAATCAAAATCGAGTAGTGATCGATCTAAGCCATCAAACAAAACTGATACACCAAAAAAGTTAACAGAATCAAGGTCAAGCAATAGTGATCAACTTAAGAAGTCAGTAAGTAACACTGATGCGTCAAAAGAGTCAACCAAATCAAAATCGAATAAGTTAACAGAATCAAAGTCGAATAATAATGATCACCCTGAGAAGCCAGTGAGTAAAACTGATGCACTAAAAGAGTCAACCAAATCAAAATCGAATAATGATCGATCTAAAAAGCTAATAAACAACACTGATGTACCAAAAGAGTTCGCCGAATCAAAATCGAACAATGATCGATCTAAGAAGCTAGTAAACAAACCTGATGTGCCAAAAGAGTTTGGAACTTCCTCTGACACGGTAGAGCGAAAATCGTCTGAGACTCATGCGATAAATAATATTGCCACATCTTTACAACGGTCTCTAAACTTAGATAATACTGAGAAAAGCGCTGAAGATAACGCATTTTCCAGAACGACCAGCGAAGAGAAGAAGAAGAAGCGTAGAAGTAGAAGTAGAAGCAAGGAATCGAGAAGAAGTTACGAGAACACACGCGAGACCGTTACCAATCGTGTGTTCGAACCAAAGCAAGACGGATTTGACAAATATCTTTCCAATGTACCAAATTTTCCGCCGAACAATATGAGATTGAGTTCGGAACGGAAGAAGAACAGAGTGACCTTTTCCGACAGAGTGGAGGTAAGAGAATACGAAATTGATTCGCGTAATTCTTTGAAGAAGTTAGTGGGAAAAGATGCACCTATACCTGCAAATAAATTGGTAAAAAAATCTCCGATAACAGAATGGAGACCCAAACTCGAAGAATTTCTACTGCGCATCTTCATGTGGAATCCCGTTTGGCTCGAGGAACAGCGCAACATAAGGGAGGATCCGCCGATTATATCACCGTCTGAGCTTCAAAACATGCACTTGCGCTACGACTCTTACAAACAATATTATGACGTTGCGATGCCTCTTTTGTTGCTCGAGATCTGGCAAATCATGACAAGAGAATTCGAACAAGTCAGAGAGAACAAAATGAAACGCGCCACCGCTGTGTGTTCTATAATCGAAAATTCGATCACTCGTACTCCTATACCATCGACCAATCTGTTCTTGACGACTTTGATGATAGAGGTACTAGTCAAAAAGGAGGATTTCAATGCCAGAACGCATCCTGTTTACGGGGAGTTGGTGTTCTTGGAATACGTGAGAAAGATAAACGGCAAACAGATCTTCTTTAAGGTATTCGCGTATGTGATCAATATGCATCAAACGATTCTCACAGATTTCACACATTACAATAGAAATTTACGGAATCACGTCGACAATCCGTTTGCTGTGATAACTTATACTCTGTGGACACGACCCGTTGAACATGACATTCCCGTAAACCGGGTACATCGAGTCCGAACAGTCATGTATCTACGACCAAGTATCAGAATGGTACAAGCGCTTCAATATCTTCCACAATCGGCTCTTTTGAAACCAATTTTGAATCCGAGAATCGAGGATTACGAATTACCGTTAATGAGCGAGCCGTACACGTGCTCCTCACTGGTCACAAAGGATGATCTGAATCCGAAACAATTGGAAGCTGTATTCAGGGTGACCACTGCCGTATTGAGGAAAGAAGCTAAACTATGCTTTATTCAGGGGCCGCCGGGAACTGGTAAGTCCAAAGTTATCGTAAACTTAGTGACTCAGATACTCTATGGCGAACGTAGATACGAGTACAACCATAAATCCTTGAGAATTCTTGTTTGTGCGCCGTCCAACGCCGCTATAGACGAACTCGTGTTACGGCTTCTGAATGTCAGGTCAACTTTGAATCATAAACGCTTCAATATGGTACGCATTGGTCGGCCAGAAACTATGCATCCACTGGCTAAAACTGTTTCCGTTACGGATCTGGCGAGACGACACCTAACGAAAATGACGCAAAAATCAACTTCATCGGTCGATGCCATGTCTAACGCTGAGGACATATCGATTGTGGAAGCGCGACTCAACTCGCTTCATGCCGAACTAGAAGGTCCTCAGCAGATGCCAGAAGAAAAGAAAAAGATACTTGAACGAAAACTACTTGATTTGAGAACGAAATATGAACTGATGAAGTATGGCAAATCTTACGAGCAACTCAGTTTAAAGGAGCGTGCCAAATTTGAACGCATGTCGGAAAACGTGATACTTGCGGGCGCGGATGTAATCACTTGCACGCTCTCGTCTTGTTACACCAATCAGATGGAATCCTTATTTGGAAACTACAAGGAAAAGATATCTGTTTGCATTGTTGATGAGGCAACGCAGAGTTGCGAGGCGGAAACTTTAATACCATTGATGTTGGGAGTGAAAACTTTAGTTTTGGTTGGCGATCCGAATCAATTGCCTGCTACCATTTTGAGCCAGCGGGCTAAGAAGATGGGTCTCGATCAGTCGATATTTTCCAGAGTGCAGAACGTCTTCTCGACGGAATCGAACAATCCTATAATAATGCTGGACACGCAGTACCGTATGGAATACGCTATTTCTTACTGGCCAAACAAATACTTTTATCACGGAAAACTGAAAAATGCAGCTGGACATCGAACAAAATTCCCATTTTATCCTTACAGAGTGTTAGATCACGATTCTGCACAGAACAACGACAAATTCTCCAACACGACCGAAGCAGAATTCGTGGCCAATATAATTTACGTTATGTTGATGTTTCCAAAGTGGGAAAATATAAACGCCGTTATTTCAATCGGGGTTCTCACGCCATATAACAATCAAAGAAGTCTTGTGTTAAGTAAAATTAATGAAAAGTGAGTTTGAATAGGTTAAGAGCTTTTCAAGTGTTCAACAACAGCAGGCCTAAAACAATTTCAAAATGTTTTTAAAGCTGCTAATGCAAAAATAACATAAAATTATAATTTTTCATAAAAATTTGTTTTCAGAATATCTTCCGTACCTGAGGCTCTCAGAAAAAAAATTAGCTTTGAAGTTAACACGGTTGACGGTTTCCAGGGCCAAGAGAGAGACGTTATAATAATGTCTTGTGTGAGGAGTCAAGGTATTGGATTTTTGTCGGATAAGCAGAGACTTTGTGTTGCCCTCACGAGGGCGAAACATAGTTTAATATTGTGCGGAAACTTCAACACTTTTATGGTAAAATCAAAATCTTGACAATACATATACACGTATACTTTGTACTTAATTGTCTTGAGTTAATAAATAAATGTTTGTTTCTGCAGAAAGATCGAATGTGGAACAGACTTTTAGCCGATGCACGTGACCGTGGTGTTATATGTAAAGTTAATGCCAATGCAACACCCGCCAATATTAAACAATTTATCGTTAAATAGAAAAAAAAGACTATATTTGTATATTTATATGGAAGATATATTTAAATTCATTATGTTGTGTTGCGAGAGTGGCTGGATCTGTTTTGTATATTTTGTAAATATTGAGTTTCAACACATACTTTCTTCTAAGAAATGTATTATAAGATTTTTTTTTAATGAATATATTTATGTTTATATTGCATAAAGATTTTTTATTTCAGTTTTCTCTCTGCGTGTTCGTCTTGGTTGTTGACGAGGTCACGTCCCGCAAACCGGATGTACGAAACGCATTGCGCTGGAGTGCGCTTTTTTGCTTTGACTCTTGCTGTCTAATTTGTCTTCCAATTTGTCTTCACAAGTCGATAAATGGTAAATAGTGTTGGCGTGACTTTTTGAGTTTAACAGATCCAATCTCTGTAAATTGGACTCGCGGTTTTACGGCAGTTTTCCGCACGAGAGCATTATTATCGATTTTTATTTGTTTTTATAACTTAAAAAAGAAAAAAAAACTACTTGTGTTCATTATTTGAGTATTAGAATTTTTGCCTCAAAGTATTTATATTTTATAAGATAAAACATTATGATTACATTATGATTGTATATACGTACGCGTAGCTGATGTCCTACTATAGGCGCCCTCTACCTCAACATGTATCTTATCGAATGCTTTTATATCTGCGCCGATAAGCGCATCTGTTTGATCGATCGTCAATTATCGACTAAATCGCCATGTATATACTATTATACATACGTGCACTATGCAATATCAAGAAAAAATAAAATAAAATTATAAAATTGTTTTTACTGTTTTCTATAAATAATTCCGCTCAATCAAAAACAAGGCAACACGTTTGGCACTCGAAACATTTGTTAATTTTGAAAGTTTGTTAAAATGATATATCGACACATCTTAAGAATTATATATACAATTATACAATATTATACAATATTATTATACAATTATTATATTGTATATATGAAATACTTGATAATAAAAAAAGTGACAGAAGGTTACACGCAAAAAAAAACACATTCGCTAAACAAAATGTCGGCTTAGTTGCAATTATCAGATGCAAAAGTAAGTTTCTGAATTTTTTTTCTGGAAAGTTTTTATTTACCATCGGGCAGTTTATAAAAAATTCAGCTTTAAGTAGAAGAGTATGTGGCGATTTGGAGCGCGATAATTCAAGTAATCGAAAATTCATTTTTATAGATATACGTAATTTTAAGAAATGCATCGTATCTATAGTATCGTCACGCGTTAAAGTAACGATACGTTCGTCTCATCGCATGTAATCTACTCTCACTGACTAACACGTGTCTCGTTTGTTATTTGTTGACAAATAATCACAAATCCGTGCCGACCATTTTCATACAATTGCGCTATTCGACAATTTATGTAACTTTCTTCATCAGCGTGTAAGTTATTAATGTTGATAATGTTGTTACCCCACACAGACATAACGTCCATTAGACGTCTAATGGACGTCCATAACTCCGTGTGACGTTCTAATGAACATCTAATGGAGGTCTGCGCGGAGAATGTTTTGTTCCGTGTGGGGATTACGGATGATTTGTTGCGCGAAATGTTCCTTCCAACTCTATTATTAATTTCATGGTATCGAGGAGAGACGAGAGAGAAGAGACACTGATCTCTCTATTACACTTAAATCGACACGTCTCTCGTATAGAAATCTCGGTCCTAAATTAAGGACAAATACCCACCCGGACGCGGCGCGGCGCAAAGCGGCGGCGTGAAGTCTCTCGTCTCTTTTCCGAGACGAGATAAACGCGTTTCCGCGTGCACATTTCGTTGTAGAAAATCACGTCTCCGCGTCGAACAGAGTTTTCAAATGTTTCGATGGCGTTCGAAACATCGACGATTTGTTTTCCAAGTTCGCGCACTTGCTCGACTTGATCTGACTGTTGTTTGATGCTCGCAAAAAAAAAAAAAAAAAAACAGGAAAACGAGAATTATCGAATCGATTATGAGACAAAATTGTTCTTTTAAACACGAAATCTGCCGACATTATATTAATACAGTCCGTTGTACAGTCGCACGCTCGCACGTTTTGGGTTCGGCGTTTCTATTCCTGGAGCGGGCCGACTCCTCGTCTCCGGCTCGGAGGTGCCGTGCCCCGGCTAAAGAGCGAAGCCAGTGCGAGCGAGTCTGCCCGCGCGCGGAGAATCGGGAGCGCGTGTGTTACAGACGGGGCGTGCGACGAGCGTGCGGGTGCGCGTGTGTGCTTCGTAAGTGGCCGTTGGAAGATGTGCGTGCGCGTGCAACGAAATCGGAAGCGTCGTACGACGACAGGACGCCAAGTACGCACGCCGACGAACACAAGTCGACGTGACCCCGCGACCGCGATTTTTCGCAATCCCTCTGATCTCGTTTTTACTGCCTATCTACGTCGTCTCTTCTCAAAATCCGCCGTCGGTTGGCAGATGCGAGCGCGTTTCTTCAACCGCGACTTCTTGACTCCCTCGCTCGTGAACTGATGACAGAGATCATGCCGGAACAGTCGGCATGATCGTCTTCGGCGCGAGCGCGAAACTCCTTCCAAAACTTTTGGAGGCGAGGAAACTCTCGGACCGCATAAAAGAGCGCGAATCGAGTTGTGTCTCCTCTCGAACTCCACGCCACCGCTACACGCGCGCGTGCGGGTGGTGAGACCGTCGATCGGGGGCGAATGATGAGACACGCGCGCGAGTGACACAAACATGAGAAACGCCGAGAGGTTGATTTTTCCTCTATCCTATCTCTTTCCCGTTCTCTCGCCGATTGAGCTTCACCGGAGAACGTAGGTCCTCTTTTGCCGTTTCGAAGAGAAAATTAGCGCGAGAACGAAATATGTGCATCTCCGCTCTTCGTGCAAAGAAAAACATCCGAATTATTGCGGATTTTATGCAACAGCGCTCCTTATTAACGGGCGCGTTATAAATCGCTGTTATCATCATTCGTGTCACGTCGCTTGTACACGCGAACGACGACGATAATAAATTCGGGATGAAATTGTCGCGCTAGCTTTGCGGCTATTTGTTACGCGAGACACTTGGAAATCTATCTCATTCGAAATATGATACCGAATGTAAAACATTTTCCGTAGTCTAAATTCCGAAACTGTGATAAATCGTATTCTCTCGGGAGCTCTGTAAAATATAGAACGCGGACGCAAAACATTTGATGACAATTCGGCGCGGGAAGCGCATTTTCGCACATCATTTGCGATCGGTACAACAATTGGCGCTTATTTTGAACCACACAATTATTTAAGTCGGTAAATAATTTCTATAGATTTTCTCTTCCTCACAATTACAAGCATCGCTTCGGATTATTTTCCCGAAGTTCTTCTCTGTTGTCGAGATGGATTGCTCGAGATTGCATTGCTTGCTCGCGCTCGGTGAACGTGTGCGACGAGCGTGTGCCGGTAATTCGACGAAGCGCGATCTCATCTCGCGGTCGAATCCCCGTATGTTTGGAGTCATGAGTTACGAGTTTCGAGTTTGCATGTGTTTAGAGCGGTCAGAAAAAAAAAAAAAACGTCTCTCTTGGATTCCTATGTTTAGATTACCGGTCTCCTTTTACGAGCGAGACTCTCCACCGACGACGGTGGTGGTATTTTGAGAGAAAGCGCGCGAAAAAATCGATCGATTTTTTTTCTATTCCCGTGCACGATTAGTGATTTGTGGCGTGCGTGTTGGCGGGAGTGCAAACTCTTTGCTCTCGTTCGCGGCGACCAAATGCGCTCGAAAAGGAGACCAACGGATGGATACAATTGTAACGGAGTTTATACACGTGATCTTATACGTTGTCTCTCTCGACGTTTATAACAGAGACATAATGAAAGGACGCAACAAAAACAAAATCTGCATAGAAACGTAGATGACGTGAATAAATATAGCAATTAAAAAAAGCTACTATATGTTACAGGAGCAATCATTATCTCTAATAACACTTTGTATAAAAAATATGTACAATAACACGTTGTTACATACGAGCATAATGCCATTCTTGAAAGATGACATGTATAAGAGAAACCGCGGATTTAAAATTTATTTATATTTTTTTTTTCTGATATGATAATTAGCTGTTTCGTGACAACTCGAACGACATGTGACAACAAGCTTCTATTTCCTGATCGCGAAAATCTTGATTTGCGAACGTGGCAGAGACACGACGGTGACGTATTGATCTGATCTTAATCGAATAACGCTAGCCGTGTTTTATTTAAAGCGTGCGTCTAATGCGTTTACTACAAACGCCGTTTCTAATTTACGAAGCTCGCTTACGAGATCGGAGCATGAACGTTCCAATATATATGTATATATATATATATATATATATTGGCGTTACCCTCTGCGATCGTCTATTATTTATCAACGGTGATATATTACTTCCGTCGCTTTTCGTGTTTTCTCTTTAGCAAATATCCGAGATATTTGGTTATACACCGTTATACAATTCACCTCCAATTATTCAACTTGACTGACCATTAAAAAGTATCGCAAATTTATTCGCAAAATATCCCGGAGGAGTATTTTTTTAAGCCGCGCGCGTGCGAAATTGTGACGTATCGATTTAATTGGTTGACTTGCTTGCGCGATCATCTTAGACGCAAATATCGGCGAAAAAAAAATTACTGTTTGTTTTTGTTTGAAACAAGTTAATTTTGTGCAATTATTTAAATTTCTCAATTCTCGCATCTTTGACATTTGCCGACACGATGTTTCTAATCGCCTAATGTGGCGCGATAGTATAAATATTTTTCGTAATATTCTCAGACGCTTTTGCAGAAAACCTCGTGAGAAAAAGTTTGGCGGATAAAAATCTGGCGGAGAGAGTAAAACGCCGACACAATACGTGCGTAAGAACGCGTATATATATATATATATATACATATATGTATATACGATTATATGGCATTAGTACTTTACCAGGGGTATGCCTGAGATGGCATCTTAAAGATACACAAGTCGGAATGGCATTGCATTACAGTCTTGTGCTTAAATCCGAAACTGTAAAGAACGCGGATAATAAACATTTCGAATGATCTTGGAAAAACATGAAGGAGAAGCGGATCGTATTAAAGTATGATTTATAGATGGGATCATCACACGCGTCTCACGGTTGCGCGATTAAATATTCTCGGAAATGTATTCGAGAGACTCGAGAAATTATTTGCGCCTCATCCCGACCGCGCGCGCGCGCGTTAAAGTTGATATTTAATTTGTTTATTTCTTCTTATTAAGTTTTTGTTTGTTTGTGAAAAGCGCGCGATATATCTCCTCCCGATCGGAATATTGACTCTCCGAATCCATCCGTGAGAGCGATCAAATCGGAGAAGAAACAACTTTTCCTTCATCGTCCAGGTGCCTTCTCGTACTACATTGGCGTTTTCGTCGAGAAAACAGACTCGCTCGACTTCGCTTGTAGCAAAGTGCAGTCGCATATACGTAAACGCTAAAATAGAATAGCGCGCAGAACGTCAAGCAGAATTTTACTACAGGCCTCCTAATTTCTTGCTTTTAGTCCGGTTTGATTTTCGAGCCCGCGCGACTCGAGGCACGCCGGCGTGAGCGTTGCAACGCGAGATATGTATGTGGAGCTCGTATCGAAGCGGGTGTTTCGCCTTTGAAGTGGTTGGCGCGTTAATTGCCACGGAGTTTTCGATCGTTTTGCCTTGCCGAGCCGCCTTGCCGGCTCGTGGCATTAATGGGGTTCTCGGGGGGAGGAGAGGAACACACACACACAAAAAAAAAAAAAATGATGAGTGACCTCTCGCGTGTCGGTTATAAATAAAGCTCCGGGGGCCTCCTCTCGAGCATTTCGCCGAGACTTCGCAATCCCCCCGTGTACGTACCTCGTTGTGTGTATCCGCCACTTGTCTCAATCTCTCTTCTCGTATCATTTGCGATATTCTTTATCGCTCGGCCGCATCTGGAAAAGGTTTCATTCGCCGAGCGAGCGTAATATTTATGCCGCGCTTGCCGCTCATTTTTGAGAGCGGAGGAGTTCAAATAAGAAAGACGCGACCGCGGATATCCGCTTCGGGGACGACGCTAAATATTCAAGATTTAACATGATTCGCGCGTACTCCCATCGCTGCGCGAGATCACGCAGGAAATTAGCAGTCATAAGTGCCAGGACGAAAAGACGATAAATTGATATTGTGTGGATGTTTATTTTAATACCTCTTTCTCTCTTAGAAAAAAAAAAAAAAAAAACAGGAAGACAGGATATTATACAGGATATTATTATCTTAGATGTATCGTTTACGTATTAACATTTACTTATATATTATTTTTTGCATATATATATTGTATATGTTAACTTTTCTGTGTGATATAATTTTAATATGTATGTTTGTAGAATTATTCTCACGTTTTTTAAAATAATTTATTTTATATTCTCTCTTATTCTCTTCGAAAAGAAAAAGAAGCACGTGACGTTGTGTCTTTAACACGTAAGAAGAATTACACGCCGTGAAATATCGAATTTACATTTAGCTTCCGAAAGCCTCGTTAATGTCAAGCATAGACCGTTCCTCTATGTTTTGTAGCATTTGATAATTTTGGCACGTTTAACACACACACGCGTACACGCACGCACACACACACACACGCACATACATGTTTTCCAATTTCATTCCACAGTCGATCCGTTAAAACATCGGCAAAACGTCCACGCGAGCAAGCGCGGAAACAAGTGTAAAATGTTTTATTTCCCTAAAAACGTTTCAACTCTAAAATGGTTACAGCGAGCGCATCCTATCTTGGCACAGGCCCAAATACCACAAGTTTGCCGAGTCAAAGGAAATCCTTATACTTTTGTAACACCGAACAAAGAAATGCCGGAAGGGAGTGGATAACAAATATATATATGTATATATATATATATATACGCATTTCTTGGCTAAAGAAATTACTTACTCCCGCGAATAAGTAAAGAGTAGTTTTCCAAGTTTAGCGTCGTACATGCATATATGTACGCGACAATTTTGTCGATCTCGTACAAATTCGCGGAAACGACATTTTATCTCGAAACTCGGCGCGCACTTGATCTTGAAATTGTTCCCAAAAACATATCCGGAATACAATGCAAACTTACACGAGAGCGCGCGACAATTGGCTCGTAGATATTCGTCAGATTGAATTAATTCGACGCGGTGGAAGAGTGCGCGCAATTAAATGTTCTTCGCGATCACAACTCGCGCATCTTCTAATTAAATTCGGATTTGCACGGGAAAAGCGCAGCAAAATTAAATTCTTGCGAGAGAGCGGTAAATTTATTGCGCAATACGTAGTTTTTGTCAAACAAAAACAGAGATGATTAACGAGTGTGTCCGTTAAATATAGATAAATATTCCTCTTTACACAAAGAGGCACACACAGTCTTTCCGCGTTTCCGCTATGATCAATTTAATTAGACTTCCGGTCCTAGAAGAGGGGCAGAAAGCTCACTCACTCTCTTGTTAATGCGATGAGTCGCGACGGGTATTTTCGTGCGCTTTCCCCGAAATTTTCCGCGCAAGAGAGACACGTCACAATCCGTTCTTTCTTTGAAAGATGATGCTACCGAATTGGACGATGACAGCCTTGGAATTTCGATATGCAGTAATGTCAAGTCTGCTTTCAAAACAGAGCGGTAGGAAAGGTGAGAAATTTACGTTGACTTTATTGCGATATTAAAAAAAAAAAACAAAACAAGAGACGGGAGGCGCGAAACATATGCACGAGAAAATCCGAGAGAGCAAAGTGCATCGCGAAGAATTTTCGCTCGCTTCGGCGTCTGACGAAAATAATCGCAGCGGAGAAGAGAGTTTTTGGTAACTTTGATAAAGACCCTCGTAAATGTTTAAATCCGCGTGCGCGAATGCGGCATCTTGTAATTTACGTACACAGAGTGTAGAACATAAAATAAGAATCTGAAAACAAATTTGAAAACAAATTTTTCTCCTCAGAATAATCAAAGAGAGGATCCGGGCGCGGAGGTGAAACATTTTTAAGATTTAACACATTTCGCCACTTTATTCTTCGAAACAAATTCGCGAATATCGTTGCGGTTGCTCGCTAACGAGGTCACTGAGATATTCGTGTATTTGAGAGCAAATATATATTGAAGATTACAATATAATTGTAAATAAGAAAAAAATGCGTGAGGGAATTAGTGTCACGGGAACGCACACGTATTGCTCGAAAATGAACTTCTGTTAATGCCGATTGCACGTGAGACTCGACGGAGACAGATAAAAAAAAAAATCGGTTCGATGAAATGGAATAAATTTGACGGAAAGGAAGGTAAATTATTTTTCTTTTCGCGAGAAGATCGCCGGGGAAGTGTTCAGTCGGACAATCGTCCAGAAAACTGAACTAGACAAAAAAAATGACAATTACTTAAGAGGACGGTTTTATAGAAGTAAGAAAGAAGACTTGAAGTGATGTATACATATATATATATATAGCGAGAAAATGGTTTTTCTAGATTTTAATCGGCTAAAGTAGTTTGAGGAAGTGATCGCCAAAACAAGTGGTATATTTTTTCGACGATACAAAGAACATTCTTTCTATTTCTACTCTTTTATTTCTCTCGCAAAAGCAGAAATGACCGCAAAGACAATGGTCAAAGACGATGAAGAAGTGTTCGAATGAAGTGAATTTTAGTCACGGAGAAACGGTAGACTAAACAGGAAAATATTAGCGTGTTTTTTTTTTTTTTTTTTTTTTATTTATTTTCAAGCAAGATTCGCGCGTCTTTTGAAATCTCGAAAGTGAAAAGCAGAGAATCTAGAGAAGTTGCGTGACTGTGCGTGTTACAAAAAATCTCACATTTCGAAATCCGGAAGCTCCGCGGAAGATGTGAGGAAGAAGAAAAAGAAACGGCGTGAGGTCACATTCCCGGTTTCCTGGAGAGAACGTTGTTCGGGAAATCGCCGAATTCACGGTCGCCGTTTTTCGATCTTACATTTGTTCGGTGGCAAGATGCTGGACATATTTCGGGGTCTGAAGAGCCTTATAAAGATCTCGCACATTCACATCGACAGCGCCGTGTTTCGCTTGCATTACAGCCTCACTGTGATTCTGCTGATTGCGTTCTCGCTGATCGTCACAACTCGTCAATACGTGGGCAACCCAATCGATTGCATTCACAGCAAAGATCTGCCCGAGGACGTGCTGAACACCTATTGCTGGATACACAGCACGTACACGATTATTTCGGCTTATCACAAGAAAGAAGGCGCGGAAGTGCCTTTTCCCGGCGTCGACAATTCGAAGTCGTATACTGACGCCGAAAGAAAGGAGTACAGATACTATCAGTGGGTCTGTTTCATGCTGTTCTTGCAGGTATCGATCGCTCGTTAACGTTAATTTTCCATGTGTGTTTTGTTCTGTGTGTGTTAAATTGTTTTTACGTGTTAATTATATATAAGCGCTCATTCATTTTATCCGTTTAGTAATTTACATAGTGTGTTAAATGCATGCGCGGAACATCGCACAAAAAAAGAAATTGTTACATATATATATATATATATATCTAATATTGTTATATTCATTATACCGCACGCGTGACCTTAATTTATTTCTTCTTGGAAATGCGTCAAGACAGAAGGGAGAACCTTGAGCAACTTACGTTTCGGTATCAAACGTGCACCCGGCTCTTAGCGTTGCGCTTTTCCGCTCGTCCATCAGCAATCGTTCTCGCTAACGACCTACACGTTCGCACTCGCGAAGGCTTGCATCTAGTCCATTGCCAAGAAAGAAACCTTAAACATAACAATGCACTAAACTTTGTCATTGAGAGTTACTCATGTGGTTCGTAGCCTTGACGTCTTAGTTCGATTAGACTCTCTCGGTTTGCTTCATCCCATCAACCTCAGACAGTTAAATAATAATCCGCTTATTAATCTGAATAAAACAATTTCCAAAGTCCAAGATTTACGTTGTTAGCAAAGAGCTAAGCAAAAGCGTCGTTACGCATAAATTTATGCGCAATTATGTGCCTCTTTTGCATATAAATATCTTATCAGTAGATATACAAGGTTGTCTGAAACATTTTGACAAAACCGAGAGTAAATTGAGTGAATCTGAATTCGAAAAGTTCATGCACTCATTTTGCAACATTCGCGTTATTGATTGAGTTATTAATTGATTGATTAAAATGGGAGCGAACGAACACGCGTGATCCGGACGCGTCTGTAGACGTGTACGATTTTCAGTTGCGAAGAAAAATGACTTATTCTCACGCAATGTTTTAGCAACGAGAAACGAACAAGCTAGTCGAGTGTCTTGTGACGCAGATTCTTGCGATCAGCTGATTTTCACTGAACATCACACGTGCGTACAAATTCCGAACCATCGCTCATTGGCTCGCTAATTGATTAAATTAGTAACTCGATGTAAATAGCGAATTTTGCAAAATGCTAAATCATTTTTTTTTATTTGGATTGACCCAATCTATTTCCATACTTTGGCTTTGTCAAAATTTTTTCTGACACTCTGTCTATACCACATTTTCTATAAGTAACTTACTGGCCTGTTCGTATAAACTCTTCCGTTGTGTGCTCGCTGTTATCCATCATGATTGGTAATTTCAGATCAAGATACGTAAGATAGATGTTGTGTAAAAAAGTTTTAAGGAGCGAAACGGGTTAATAATGGTACGGGGCGGCGCACACCTGAAATAGCGAATCCGTAGTATTTTTCTTGTGCTCTCTCCGCGTTTTTCTTTCATGCTACTCGCATTGATGTCTCAAAATAAACGCAGTCTACAACACACAGCCAACGCATCTCTCTCTCTTTTTACAAAAGTTTTTTTTTTCTATTTCCCTTCTCCTTGTTACACCGGTTTTTTTTCGCTCGGCGTCTCAAAACAAACTACATAGTTTACAGCGACTACTCGCCGCCTTTTTTTATTTTCGCTGATGTATTTCCTTGCATTTCTATTATTATCGTTGAGCTAATTTCGTTACTCGACGAAACAATGACTCTCGATCCCGCTCGCAGATGTTTTATACTTGCTATTATTATTATTTTGTTATCTCATCGTTTGAAATTGCGGGTCCCGCGTTATATCTCGATTGCTCAAAAAATAAACATGTAATTGTTTTTGTTATAAATTTTAGGAAAATAAAAAAAGAAGAGTTAAGAAAGGTGGAAAATTTAAATTCTATAAAATTATATGCCTTTTATGTGCTTCTCATTCGCGATGCAATTAGATCGATGGACTTATTGAAATCCATCGCACTCGGTGCTGCAAATATCGCGTTCCTTGTAACGCAACGTGAAAAGAAAGTTCAAGAATTATGTCAATTTTTTATTTCACGCTTAAACTGATATATTTATAAATTTTTCTTTCAACATCTCAATATGATACTGTATGATTTAATGGCGCTTTAAAGTTTATAGTACCTCAAATATTTTACGATCTGTAGCGCTATAAACGTGTGCGTCATTACAGAGTCAATATATGATGTACTTTAAAGAACATTATAATTTATTTCTTTATTGAGTTTGACACACATATACACACACGAAGTACTTTTAAATGTTACATGTGCGCGCGTGTGTCTGTACATATGTACACGTATGTATTCACATATACATATGTTATTTTTATTCTATATAACAATAGCATTATCAATATTAAACAGATAAATTTTTATTATTTAATTAAATATTAAGTTATTTCGAAATTATTTTTAAATATATTAAAATACGAGCCAATCCGCTGGATGTACGTGCAAATATATATATTTTTTTAAACGTGTAAATTAATATACACGGAGATACGCGAATTAAATTCAATTAAATTCAATTCGAATTTCAATTTGAATTAACGTCAATTTGAAAAATTTTTGTTACTATATTGAAGTTTTTATTAACTTGTTTCAGATTTAAAAATAAAATTAAAAAAAAATGAGAGAATCGAAATCTCTGTTTATTGTTATTGCTTATCGAGGATTAGCGCTCGCTGTAAACGTGCCATAAAGCGGCATGTTAGATTGCGGATAATACACTTTCAGATACAGTTTTGTCGATCATCCCTTCGCTAAGCATGCCGACTCAATGCAATATAGAGACTTGCTTGCAAGATAATATCAGTTATGTGTTTAGCATCGAGGTCAAGAGATACCTCTCAAGTCCAGCCAGTCTTCTGACAGCTTGCATCCAAGTCTCACGTGTATATTTTCTTCCCGATTCTATTTATCGTCTCTACAATTGTTTCTCTTCCGTGATTTTTTACTTTGTTGAAAAAAACTCTTTTCGATTCGATTTTACACAACGTGAAACATTTTGTCACAAGAAGAAAAAATAATAGCTCATCGGATACACGTGACGAACGCGTGTTTAAGTGATGTCGGATGAAAAGAGATGATGTGCGTGATGGTGCTTATCTCTCTCTCTCTCTCTCAAGTGTGTTCACGCAATTTTCGTAAGATACACGTGTACGTGTGCACGTGTATTTGTTTATAAATAAATACGCAATTTGTTTTACACGAAACAATTTCGAGAATCGATTTTGTTCAGATATACAAGAAGAAGCGTGGCAGAAAACATAGTGTCGCGACCAAGACGTTTCAAGAATCGAGACATAATCAAGCGTGTGTGCGGATGGGAGACAAAATCCGAGAAACTTCATGCGTGAACGAAGAAAAACGTACATCGAGATATCTCTGAAAAGAGGTGAGAAAAGAAAATAAGAGAAAAGATCGGAAGAAGCGACAGAAGTAAACGAAGGGAGAGAAGAAGCCAGACAACTAAACAGTGTCGTGTGGTTTTTACGACAGTTTGTTTGTTCAAAATGTGCACGACACGTCCACTCTGTTTTCGGTCCAATTCGAAGCTCGCATGTGGCTCGATGAGAACTATACGGGTGGTCTACGTGGATGAAAGTTTTTCGATATAACAAATTGTTCTTCTTTTTTTTTTTTACAGCCTTTACTTTTTATTGTTACAAAATTATAATTTTTGTATCTAATATCTGGTCTTTTCTTAATGGAATAAATCAAGAGTTGTGAAATTATCGAACGAACACTTCATCTGGAAGCAATTGCAAAACCTCACACACAAATTGTGAATAAACTCGTAAAAGAAGAAGAAGAAGTACATTCATTCGTCGCAATTATCTGGAATTCACACAAACAACGGAAAGAGAATAATATTCCGAAAGATATTAAAAAGGAATCTCGTTATATTGTTACTGAAATCAGATCTTTGGTCGGAATTTTTCTAACAACATGCCGCTGATGCTGAAAATGATCGATTTGTTCGGTTCGTTTCGAGCGCTCTTCAAGCACCAGATCGCTGAGGATTCGATGATATTTCGTCTGCATTATCGCGCCACGGTGGCCGTACTGCTGGCCGGTTGTCTCACCCTCGCCTGCAAAAGTATATCCGGCTCGCCGATACACTGCGAAGCACCCGGCTCGGTGGACAAGGTCGTGCTAGAGACCTTCTGCTGGCTTCACACCACGTACAGCATGGTGCGCGCGTTCAACATGAGCATCGGTCAGGCCGTGCCCTATCCGGGGGTGTCGAACAGCAAGAACGAAGGGTTGCACGGCCACGCGCCCCATCCGCTGGTCAAACAACACAAATACTACCAGTGGGTTATCTTCCTTTTGCTATTGCAAGTAAGAAGAGACGCGTCATCTTCTAATTTACATAATATTATTAAATCATTATCGAAAGAGATTTGTACAACTGAAACGTACGTAATGTGCGCGCCCATTTCAAATTGAAACAGTCTGGAGAAAAAAAAAAAGAAAATTGCAGGTTCGCAGAACAAGAGCGCGTAAGAAAGTTTATGTATGTACCTACCTACCTACCCTGCACTACGCAGCGATTGCGTGGTATTCGTTTATCCGTGATTGATAATCCTTGTTCGTAATGTCAATTTATAAATAGATTACAGATAGTCGTGTTCCTTTAAAATGCATATGTACCTTCGACGCTATCTTCGATCTGTACCTCCGCCTCTCGAGCATTACTCTCGACTTCTCTCTTTTCCTTTCTCTCTCTCTCTCTCTCTCTCTCTCTCACTCTCTTTCTCAAGCCTTTATCGTCTATTTATATATCTAAAGTTCGCACAACTTTTTCGATTTTTTGATCAATCGCGCATCCACCTTTGATTACGCAACTCATTATCCGGATATGTTTTCCGAATATTCTTTGACACACAAAACATCCATTATACATACATACACTGTCACCGCTGCGTTAGCTAGTGACAGTAAAAAAAATTTGTATTTAACTGAACAAAAAAGTATTAAAAATAAATAATACACGGAAATAAGTATATAAAATGTGTATCAATACACAAATCTTATATTGTTCTCTCTCTTTTGAAATTGATTTCTCTTGTATTATTGTTCACATCATTTGATGTGCTTGATTGACGCATAAGTTACACACATTTTGAAGTAAAAACATTTACAACTAATCGAAAGCTGTTTCCTTGTTGTGTGTTAATTTTACTCGTTTTAAAAGTAGCTGCCACACTCCTTTGTTTGCTTTGTTCTCCTTATCTCGAGAACTTTCCAAGTTTTATTATCACCGTGTTTAACTAAATTTATTCGAAGCAACTATTTTTGCTAACGTGACACGTTGCGTTTCACGCGTCGACCACGAGTAGCGCGAACCATATTACGCGATTCGTTCCTTTCAAACAGTTGTTATTCACGTTTACGTATAATTACGTGCGTGAGTGCGTGTGCTTTTGCTAAAAATTGCCGTACGTATTACGTACGGCTCTCTTCTGTTTTATTGAGACAAAAAAAAGATATGTATATGTAAATACATCCATTATTCATAATTTTTTGCTTATTATTATTCGGTACAAAAATTTGAATTTGCAAGAAATATCATTGTGTAATTGTTTTTCAATACTTAAAATTTACATAAACGTTGCATTAATAAATTACAATTTGTCACTCTTGTACGATCTCAACATTATTACACGTGGCACTGCAAAATACAATATACAGAGAGAAACACACACACATACATATATCTAAACTCAGAGACGACGAAAATAATCGCGAGTCAATTGTTGGACTCGGAGCAATGTATTAAAATTTCCGAAGCGATGTCAATGCACTTATTAAGAATACGATGCGGGAGTAAACCCTTTCTCATGGTATATAAAGCTTTCTGGCTTATCGCCAGGGGTCTCGGATCGTTTGCTTGGCGTAGTATACGATCGTATATAGAGATACGTGTGTACGCGCCCGGTGTGTGCCCCCTTACGATGTGTGCTGGCGAGAGTTCAGAAAATTCGAAGCAAATTGCAATTTGCGGAGGGGTCTGACACAGACTCTCGGATAATTCTTAATGAAAGTAGGCGGTGCTTTTTGCAAAGTGTGTCAAAACTTTAAATGGGTTTCTGTAACGCGCGTTTTGCTTAGCATACGCATTGTTTCTGAGAAATGTAGAAACAGCACATTATATTTGGCTTAATGACAAACATTCTCATCTCACCTGCGCGACAATAAACTTTTATCGCGCGACAAAATATACGATGCGCTTTTACACGCGCTTCGCGCGAATATGATTTCACATAATGTGTGTGTTGCGTATATTTAACTTTTATGTTCGCGCAATTACACGCACACAAAAACTTGCTAATTAAATTACTTGCAATACCTTGCAGATCGAGAAAACAACATTTAATCATACTCGACATTGACAATAACAATTAACAAAATTTTTGCTTTGATGTTTATGTATATTAGGCTTTTCTTCAGAATACGGTGGCCTGATTACGCTCTTTTTTCTTTTCTTGATAAGATTACGAAGAAACGTAAAACAAACTTGCGTGTCGAACCGATTGTGCGACGATTTACAGCTTTTAGCATTATCGCGAGACCACATCTGCATGCAAAGAGCGAAGGAACACGTTTGAGAGCTAAAATAGATCTGTTCGCTTCTTTTCTCTCTTTCTCTCTCTTTCTCTTCTCTCCAGGCAGGGTCGAATGGAACCTTATTTCATGTGCCCAGCTGAGGAGAGAAAGAGTTGAGCATTTGTATATCCAACTTCTAATATTGAAACTCTCGTACATTGTACTTATTCATAACGTCATAAAATATATACGGTGTAACGTAATCCAAATGTAGTAATGTGATAATGCGCGCGATATCGATGAAGAAACGGCGATTCGCGAAATAATTGAATTCCGTTGCAAAATACTCATCCCCCGTCGAAAGAAGGGGATGCGCCTTTAGCAATTTTTTACAAGTAAAAATTTATACAAAGCAGATCTCTTGTGTACGCGCGTCGCAATGTTTTAATGGTTTTAATCAACGGCGTATGGCAAGAGCACAATAACGATAACTCGTTTCGCAAATAATATAGCGTTGCGCGCTACGTTATACGTAAGTAGATCCGCCCCCTCATAGATCTTTTTCTCTTTCTCTCTCTCTCTCTCTTTCTCTCTCCGTATAATATATCAAGTACCGGCCGATTCGTTGGTATTTATTCACTCAGCGCTTTGCTTGCAGGCGATCCTCTTCTATACTCCGCGGTGGCTCTGGAAGGGGTGGGAGGGTGGCAAGATTCATGCTCTTATGATGGATCTCGATATCGGGCTCTGCTCCGAGGTAGAGAAAAAGCAAAAAAAGAAAATGCTGCTCGACTACCTTTGGGAGAACCTTCGCTTTCACAATTGGTGGGCTTACAGGTATTACCTGTGCGAGGTCCTCGCGCTGCTAAATGTGATCGGTGAGTAGGCAATCAAACTTTTCTCTTTTAATTCGCCGAAATACTTCGTCATCAATGTTCGGCTTGCTCAATCCAATCGTCAACGTTACAAGATTTGGAAACACGCAATTTTTCTGTTGTACGCAATCAACGCTTACAATCTTACACACAAGTTAATTAAACTTAAAAAATAAACATGCCCGAAGAGTAGTTCATTTTTCCACTTCTAAAGATTATGTACATGTAATATTTTTTTCCACATTATATTTCTTAATAACATTAATTTTATAATAAATATAAATTTTCATTATTATTTAATTCTTAATTATTTCATTATTTTATAACACGAATTTTATAATATTATACTTAATTACACTTTTATGCGTGATTGTAATATATTTAATTAATGTATTACACAAAGCCGGTTCTTTGATATGCATATTAAATTGTCGTATTGTACAATAAAATGTTTAATAACGAAAATAAATTAACTTCATTTTGGTTCATATTGGTCTACGCGCAAACGCGTGGTGTATACGTAGGTGTTGTAAGAAAAACATACCTATATAATGAATAATGAATGAATGAATGAAACGATTCACACGGTAAAAGTTGGCAGCGATACAGCTGGCCGACCACTTCGGTATCAAATGTTTGATTAGATGCGTGATAATTACGTAGCTATCTATCTGTGTACAAATCTATCTGTATTTATATGATGACTCGTCAGTTTCATGCGATCGCGTTGCGATCGAAATTATTCGAAATTCGACGCGACAATTTTGTCATGAATATGTATAGACATGAATATACATAAGTATATAGAATTTACATTGAGTTGAAATATGTGGAGCAATTCACAATAAATCTAAGGTGTTTAATTGGTATAGAAAAAAAAAAAATATATATATATATAAAATAACATAATATGCGCGGAGTGATTTGCATAAGGTTTATTTATAAAGAAAAACATACACGACTAATTATGATATATAACTTTTGAAGTGTATGTTTTCTTTATGGTAAAAGAGTCAAGTTTATTTATTTTGTTTTAATAAATAAAACGCTTATTATTTCGTAATAAGAGAGAGAACATAATACGAGAACATGATATTTTATAAAAAAAAAAAAAAAAAACGCGGGAAAAACATTTGATAAATGACGAGAAAATGTGAGGCAACGAGCCGCATTGTCGCAGGTCAGATGTTTCTGATGAATCGCTTCTTTGACGGCGCTTTCTTGACCTTCGGCATCGACGTACTCAAGTTTCTCGAATCCGATCAGGAGGACCGAGTGGATCCTATGATTTACGTTTTTCCAAGGATGACCAAGTGCACATTTTACAAGTACGGTGTCAGCGGGGAAGTTGAGAGGCACGACGCCATGTGCATACTGCCTCTAAACGTCGTGAACGAGAAGATCTACGTTTTTCTCTGGTTCTGGTTCCTCTTCCTCGGCGTGCTCAGTTTCTTTACAGTTTTATATAGGGTTAGTAATTGATGAAAATGATTTTTCCTAAAATATTAATAATCGATCTACTTTTTGCGATGGAATCTCATCTGCCGCAGGTCTTAATAATATTTTCGCCACGCACAAGGGTCTACTTATTGCGAATGAGGTTTCGTTTGGTACGGCGGGATGCCGTGGAGACAATAGTGCGTCGCAGCAAAGTCGGCGATTGGTTTCTCCTCTACATGCTGGGCGAAAATTTGGACACCGTGATATATCGGGACGTAATGCACGAATTGGCGAACAAGCTTGCATCGAGGCATCATCACGGCTTGCCGGGAATAAAAGGAGAAATTCAAGAAGCCTGATCGAGGTAATCTTGTTTTTTTTTGTGTACAAATATATTTGTTGTGAGTTAATAAATTATTAATTTATTTCTTGACCGAAAGATTAACATTCAGGAAGTGAATATCTAAAAAAATACAACATATATAAATTGCTTATTGTCTATACGCTATATGTCTAGATAATTATATATATATGTCTAGATATTATATGTTAGATATTATATGTTCCATATAAATTAAAATATATATCAACATAAGATAAATTAACACAAATCAGCCGAGCATTCAAAAAAGCATTACAAATCTTTTCGGTACAACGCATATATTCTGATTGGTCGATATCTTGTCGGCTACATCTGATAATTTCATTTAATTTTATGTATGATGACCTTTAATCTCTATGTATCGGCCGTAGAGACATATTCGGCGGCCGTCGATCAAAGTCGACTATAGCACAGAAAAAGTTAAAGATTTATTTTATACACGTAAATATTTTGACATAACTCAAACATTGATCAAACATCAACATGTATAATTAAACAGTAAAATGAAGAATACAATATTATCTTTACTAACAATTGAACTTATATTAAATTTGTTTTTATTTTACATTTCATTATTCTCGATTTTTTTTCTAATTTTCTCAACGGTGGATACGAACTCAAAAACATCTTTCGTTAAGAGAACTGGTTCTTCAAACGCAGCGAAATGACCACCACGTGGCATATAATTAAGGTGTACCAAATTAGTGAATTTGTGGCGAAGAAGGCTCCTCGGTTCGTAAGATATCTCGTGAGGAAATACTGCGTATCCCATTGGCACAGTAACTGGTAGATTCATAAGTCTCAAGGTCACGTTACCAAAGAATTCGGAGTAGATTCGAACGCTTGTCGTGAACGAATTAGTAATCCAATAGAGCATGATGTTATCCAAAAGCTCGTCCATGGTATATTTCTCGAGCAGACCGCCGTCTGCACGAAATTTGTACTTCCCGTTCGTTCCGGTGCTAAATTTTTCTATGATATACGCCGCCAATCCTACTGGCGAAGCTGCCACGGCAGTGCCTATGGTGTCTGGCTTGGTGGCTTGTATGTGAAAATATCCCGATTCCTTAAGCAAGAAACTTAGGTGCTTTTTTAAGGGATACATCAAGTTGTAGTGTTCCTTCTCGACTATGAGCGATGGAATAAAAGCGCCGATTAATCTCAAAAGTACATTAGACTTGCTAAAATTCATACACATGTTCACATGAATTCCGAGAATATTGTTCGGGAAAAGCTCGGCTAAATGCTTGACAATAACGGAACCCCAATCTCCACCTTGCGCGTAGAACTTGTCAAATCCGAGACGCAACATGAGATTTTTGAATATCACAGACATTTGTGCCGGACTCAATCCCGGTCGTACAGCTGCTTGCGAGAAAGCATATCCCGGAAGCGATGGCGCGATTACTTCGAATACGAAGTCCTTATCCGGGTGCGGTGACGTTAGCAAGGGAAATATTTTTTGAAACTCCACCACGGAACCCGGCCAACCGTGAAGCAGCAACAACGGAAGTACCTTTATGTTTTTTTGCTCTGTCGAAATATGCGGTTTTATGTGGTAAAAGTGTATGTCCAAACCTTGCACATTTGTTATGTACTGAGGATACTTGTTGAGCAGCGTCTGTCGTTCGGTCCAATTGTATTTCTTGTGCCAATATTCAAGAACCTTCTCCAAACTATTTGTGTTAGTGCCGTAGGTCCACGCGGTGTTTTCGAACGACGATACCAGCTTTATCCTTTTCGCAAGCCGTTCGTTCAGATCGTCGATTATTGATCCAGGTACGTCAATTACAAAGGGTCGTATTTCTTTCGACGCATCTCTGTTCTCTTCCGGGCCCCAAAATATTTCTGGCAGATTCGGTATGTTCTTGGTTTTGGAATTTTTATAATAGAAAAAACAACCTACTCCAACGAGCACAACAATTGTGATTATCCACATTGTATGTTCTTCTCGCTTCGTATATTCTTCGTCGACGGACAAAACACGACTAAACGGGCCCTCACTACTACCACTCTGAGAAACGTTGTTCGTCTACGTATACAATAATTTATGTAAAGCTACAGGAAATAATTCATGAAAATGCGAGTTTAACAATACACGATTCGCAACAAGTAACGCCGCGTGACGGCGAAGACTTGAATTTCTTACAGAATAACAATGTTGATATATTCGACAATGTATCAGTATTTGGAGATAACGACGTGTATTAGAGTAAAAAAGTTAAGAATTAAACACACGTGACAAATTTATATGTACAAATTACGCTAAACAGTTTCGAAGCATAGTGTCACAAGAACTATTAGAACAAAGATAGTGACCGCGTCTCTTCACTTCAGAAGTGACTGCACATAATGAAAGATTATTGCATAACGAAAGGAGCAAAAGCATGTTAAAAAAAAAACTCGGCCGAATTGGAAAGGCGACGGCACAGAAAACCGGAAATTTCAGGTTCAATTCCTGGCCGAAGAGTTTATTTTCCCAATACGGTAGAAAAAACATTTTGTTATACGAACAACGTTTCGTATATATAGCGATGTTTATATTCATTATATTTACATGTATGTTCGGATGATAGAATGTTCGGATATTAGGATTGTTCGGATAATGAGAGTTCGGATATGGGAGTCTCTACTGTATTTTAAAATTAGTTTATTTGTTTAAAACAAGTTTTTCACGAAAAATTTTATATTTATAATCTTCTTACAAATTTCTTCTTTTTTTTCAAATCATTCACATTGTATTTATATTTTCTAGGAAGTAAAATAACAATGTAATGCTCGGTATCGAGGAAATAAAAAAATAAAATTAATGTTTATACAAACAAGATTATACGGAAGATAAAATTACTGCTTATAAAAAAAAAATATACCGTTGATAATACGCACACAAAATCGTATTGAGTTATTTCCTACAACTTTTTCACGCATTCAGTCGAATGAAAATAATTATAAACGTACGTACGTAACTTTTAAGAAAAAACATTTATTATTTTTTATTACTGCTATTTCAATGTATAGGAAAAACTTCGAACAGCTGTTTAAAATACGTGATCGGCGCTACTTACTTGATAACTATAATAGCATTTCAAAATGCACACGATATGCGTCACGGCATCGTCTTTTACATAATGCTATAAATAATTGTAGCTAAAATTTCTTTTAGTTAACGAACTTAACGACAAAAAGAAAGAGAGAGAGAGAGAAAAAGAGGACGTGGCCTGCGACGTCCGTAGATCAATTGAGCGTGTCTGATACAATCTACGCGATATCGCGCCATGAGTTGCACAATTGTTGTTGCAGGTTGCCTCGGAAGGTCGGCACGCTCGATTCGATGCCGCAGTCATTCCGCCCGTCTGCATCGCGTAACAGTCGACACATCCAGAGACGCAGGACGTGCGATCGCAGTCAGAGTCTGAGAAGACAGGTCGGGTCTTCCTCGAGGATTCACAAATCTGGTCTCGTCAGAAGACGCATCCGCTCCTCCTTCCGCCAACTGTTGCTTCTCGAGCTCGAAGCAATGCGACAGCGATAGTGCCGGATGCCTCGCGGACATGTTCTCTTTGTCAAAATAACGATGAAGACTTGCAGAGAGGAAATGAAAATTTTAATACATACGAGGTAGTAAGAAAACAAAAAACCAAAAAAAAAAAGAAAAAAAAGAAACACTTTCGAAAATTGAAACCGATATTATTTCGACGAGTCGATCAGAATTCAGAGATATCGCCGTTCAGACGGTAAATTATCACACTTTTGTGTTTATAGAAGACGATATTCCGTCGAGCGTGTGTTTTACAATTTATTATTATTTCGATGTATTTTTAAGGCAGAACTGCGAATTAATTAATAAGTTATTAATAAATATATGGTTTTTATTTTACTTATAAGAGAATATTGCATCTCCTCGTCCAAATTAACGAGCATGATTATAATAATATTTTGCGTAACAATAATGTTAAAAAAAAACAATTTGGATTTGATCATCCGAATGAGGAAGACGTTAAAGACAACGTGAGTTATCGATTATGCGATTTTCTTTCTGCGTTTAGTTTTGTGTGCGTGTGTGTGTGTATGGTGCGCGTGCATTTGTCTGCATACCTTAATTAAGATTTAATGCGCATTCCACGAACTGTATATTTTTAATCTTTATACCTTAAAAAGAATGAAAAAAAAAAATATATACATATATATTACACGATGAAAGAACGTTGAAAATACGACGGCTGTAAAGGTGCATTTCGCGTCTTGTAGCACCGAACCGTCGAAATTATACCGGTTTCAATCCTTGCTCGCTCTGGGCGGATTCAGCGGTGGAAGCGAACGAAAAGACGGAGACGCATATCGGCGCGCAATGAGAAAAAGAGCGAGTTCGCGCTCTCGCGACCGGGAAAATATCGTATTTTCCTTTGGCATTGCCATCGATACGAGGGGAGGGATATGCGTTTAAAAGATATAGTGACATTCGATTTTAAAAGACACTTGGAAAAACGGCGGTGCGGGTTCATCGAACGGATGAATCGCACCGGAGATCGTTGGCTGAAGAGATTCTTGCGCCTTCATGTTGCTCTCGCATCGCCAAAAGACAGAGACGGGGATCGCGAAAAATAGTTGAAGCAAAACGAAAGATAAGACCGAAGCACACGCGGAATAATTCTGCTCTTGCAGAACGTGGGAGGCAAATAAATAATTTGTGCTTGACAATAACGACAAAAATTATCTGACGATTGTATTGACAAAAAATTGTTTTTTCTGGCATAAAAAATTCAATTATAAAAACTTTAATTGAAACAATTGAATTTTTAATATATTTTGATTGTGATATTCTATCTTTTATTTGTTTTGTTTTTTTTTTTTTTTTCATGACCGCAGTGCGAGAACGGCTCCGAGGGAACAGAGTAATTCCGTGCGCCGGAACTTTTGACGACTTGTAATATGTAGTTTTAAGCGCTGTAAGAACGTCCGAGATAAATTTACCACGTATAATTGTAATCGAAATAAACATTTTCATTGTGCGTTACACGCACGTCTCGTAAGTGTAAGCGAAGAAGGAGTTCACGAAAGGCGGAAACAATCGCATACAAGGTCTCTATATACAAAGTCTCATTTTGCGTATTCGTGATGATAACACACTCGGCACAGTGTGTGCGCTTATTTGAAAAGTTTTGGAAATCTGTCTTCCCCTCCCCAAGAGAAGAAGATTATCTTCTTTTGCGATAACGAAAATGTGTGCGAATTGTCACACAGAAAACGTAATTATTAAAAACGGAAATTGTTCGTCATTGTTACACGTCGAGCTCTCATCGATTGCGAATTTATCCGCGTTCATACACTGCCATCGATCGCGATACGATATTACATTTGCTTGTATCTGTCGCTTCGTTCTATTTAAATGAAGTTGAAAGCGTGAAATACTTAAATTTTGTGATACCGATTGATTACAATCCGGAACTATCTGTAAATTGTGTAATGTTGTTTAATTTCATTTAATTCTACAGTTTACGATATATCGTTCTCAATAATGATAATAATATGTTTTTGAACACATACATAGGCGTTTCATTAACACACACACACTACAGGCTATCAGTTTTAACAGTTTAACTCTCGATTATTATCTCTATCATTTAAGAAGATAAAATAAAGACTTTTATTCTTAAATTAAAAAACAAAAACAAAGAACAAATCGAAATGCTCTTTGAAGCGTTTTCTACAGCTCGTCTGACATATTACACTTTTCAGTTTCAGGCGCGGAATTGCAGGTAAGTGAAAACTCAAAGCGCATACGGAAAACCTTTGTTGGAAAAAAAAAAAAAAAAAAAAAAACAGTTTACTTTGCGCACGTGCATGCGTTTCATATTCGTGGTTTATCTAAATTTCAAACACAGATAACGGCCGATAGTAAAGACTTTGAATATATTCCCCCCGTTTAAAGTTTGTGCGTGTCGCAAGGGAGAACGCCGATATGCGGCGTCACCATATTCGGAAATGAAACGGCAGAAGGACCAACCGGAATGTTGCTCCTCTCCCAAAGAGAGATTTCGCTTCGGTCAATGCAAAACTTGTCCAGCTGCAAGCGATAAGTCCGGACACGGTCTTCCCCGTCGAACATTAGAAGCCAATCTCCGTCTGAGTATCCGTCTGTATTATCTCATCGTTCAAAGTAATAAAGTAGACACTCATTTAAATCTTATTATTATATAGACACTATATATATATATATATATATATATATATATATATATCAGTTAACAAATATCATTTTCTTAAATTAAATATTAAAAATTGATCTCGATTCTCTCTCTTTCTTTCGATACAATTTTTGTCTTGACTAGCACAACACAGGCGCGCGCTACGCGCACGCTATTGTTATTTTTATTTAACGTGTTGTCAGTGAACACAACCTGTCACACGATGACAGATAGTATATACGTCTTATAAACCATGTATAATACACATATGAGAAATGTCAGAAATAACGCATGAAAATCAAACTAAAAAAATAGTGAGAGAGAGAAGTGGAAAAACAACACGTGACTAAAAAGTGACAGGGAAAAGGGTAAAAAAGAGAATATTATATATATTATGTAATATTCTATATTATGTAATATTCTATATCTATATATAATACACACACATACGCATATATATATATATATACCGTAATCACGTGACCGAAGTCAGTAACACCGCCGCGGTCGCGCGGCCGAGGTCAGTGACTCCACCGCAGTCGCGCGACCGAGGTCATTGACCCGCCGCGGTCGCGCGACCGAGGTCAGTGACTCCACCGCAGTCGCGCGACCGAGGTCATTGACCCTCCGCGGTCGCGTGCCCGCGGTCAGTGACCCCTCCCTCACCAAGGCCGCGCGGCGGAGGTCAGTGACATTATTGTAATATTTATGTATATAATACATATAATACAATATAAAGTATAATATTATAAATATATAATAAATTATATGTATAATATGTATTATTTAATGTTATATATAATATAAATTACAGTCACGTTATTTTCACGTGTTGTTTTTCTACTCTTTCCTGTCGCGTGACTTTAGTTACGTTTTTAATTTTCTCTACATACACGACGAACTGTCTCAATCAAATCGCTTTTCATTATTTACTCTCTCGATCTTACCAATTCGATTCGATCAACCAACCAACCAATCGGCAATATATTCGACTCCAAACGCGCACTTTTCGGTCCAAATGCTTTTTTTAATATAGGATCAGACACAAATGAATAAAAAACATTCCGACAAGTGGTCCAAGGACGTCACGCGTGAAAGTGAAAATTTTATTACGTTCAATTTTAAGCGTCAGGGATACGCGCGCGATGATATAACTCGCGCCCCAGCGATAGTGCAAGTGATGCGGATGAAGTAATCGATATCGCGGAAAAAGTAACGGTGTGTAAATGGAGATCGGACAGGTGCGTAAGTTTACATGTTGCGCCGTTCGTGCACCATAACGAATGCGCTTGGGGAAAAAGGAACAGCAGGTTGGTGTCGCGTTTCGCTGTTCTTCGCATACAGCAGCGAGATTGTGAAAGTTGTTTCAACTTAAGAGATTTCTCGTGAGATTCGAAAGCAAGAACGGAAAAATAAATACTGTGATTTAACGGCATTTATCGGCGTCACTTTTTCCCGAACAAAAAGTCTATTCCGTGTCTGTTGGACACGGAATTTAACACACGACGGTTTAACACACTCGGATATAATTAACTAGAGCTGAAACACGCCATATCGTCATTTAGTTTTTGTTGTTGATTACACGCAATAATTTGTAATTTGTTTTTACACACGTAAGCGTATCTCCCATGTATTGAATTGACTTGACGTATCAGTTTGTGCGTTCAGTTTCGGACTATTGGTGTGTAATCGTATACACGGGGACGATGATAATCGCATCAGTAACAACGTCTTACGTCTTTACAATTTTTACGTCATTTACGTGCTAAAGATAAATGATATTTCGAATTTGAGAGAAATATAAAACTTTGCGCGCGCGCACACATCATCGAGCGACATAATCTCATTTTGTTTTGTTGCACATGCAAGTGATGATCGTGTTGTGTGCCGTAGATGATATGTCGGTTCGCAACATGCGTTGGACAGAATTTACGAGCTTCGCCGCACGGAATACACCGCCGGAGGCTTGGACTATAATATTAATCTCTATACCGTGCTTTAGTTCACGTGATGTGACACGTAGATTAACCAGCTCGGGAATTGCGAACAAAAGTAAGTAATGAGTTTCTCGATCGAATTTTGAGACACACTCATCAAATGCGAGACACGTGAAATTTATGTGAAATTAAAATGTGAAAAAAAAAAAACGCGCTCGTTATTCCTTTTGCGAGTCAAGAGTTAGAAATCGGAAAGGTTTAATTCTCCGATTTTCAAATTAGCGAGTGAAAGCGATTTAATAGCGAGATTAATCGCCACGCACGCAAGACGCGCTCTCTTACAAAAAAAAAAAGAAAAAAAATATCCGAACTGTTATTACCTTTCGGTGATGATCGTTTTTCGGAACAAACAAACTCTGCTCTACGAATCTGAATAAATAAAACAAATGTGAATTTAAAAAGATGGAACAATTCGTAAACACGTGCGGGTATTTCCAAACCACAATCTTTCGTTTCAAGCGTCGCGATTGATGTGATTGCGAGAAAAGTGAGTCTTTTGATCGCGCCTTTGATCTCTCTCGCGTGAGATATTTTATAAACGTTTGTGCCGAAAGAGCGCGGCGAACCACCGAGCGGATCAGCCGAACGGGTCAGAAACGAGAGACAGCTGGCGGCTCGAGATTTTGCGGTGTCGGTGATAAGGGAGCGCAATGATACTCGGTGAAGAGATGAAAAAAGAGAAAAGAGAGAGTACGAAAAGGAGACAAGAGAGAGAAAAAGAGAGAGAGACAGAGAGACGAGAGAAAGAGAGAGAAAGAGAGAGAGAGAGAAGCGAGGGCGTGGGCGCCCAAGGCCTTCTGCTCGCCATTTACGGTCCGGTGTGGTCGGACACGGAAGACTCGCGGGGTAAGGAAAAGAACCCCACGATACAGAGAAAGAGAAAGACAAAGAACGAGAGAGAAAATGAGAAAGAAAGAGAGAAAGAGAGAAAAGTAGACAACGAGGATGGAGGATGCAAAGAGGGAGAGAACGATCGCGGAGGACAAGAGAGAAATGGATACCGCTGTCAGGCCATTTTGGTGTGTTGCGTTGTAAACTGGAAAGACCACTCGAAACTCTTCTGTCGGCTCAACGTGTTCACACTATTGGCGAAATGAGTAGGGATCCTGATCGTATTGCACACGACGTGCGCAAAAGTCGTCAGTGATCGCACGTTTTGTCCAACAGGATTCTCAAGGCGTCGCCCCATTTAAAGCTTAGCTACAAATCTCGCTTACACAAAAGTTGAATTGGACAAGAAAGATTTTTTTTATTTTCGAACAACACAAGTTCGCTGTGTAATTGTCTCTGCGGAGTCAGATTCGCGTTTTGTTCACAGCGCGCGTTGTTTTTTTTTTTAGACTTACCAAGATAAATGTCTCCAAACAAATGAACGGACACACGCGTGCCAACGTGGCCGAAAATTTGTTTTTATTTAGAACAAACAATTCTTAATGTTTTAGTTGAGTTAATTTTTTAATACGTATTTTTAATAATTATTTTCTAACCTTACGTGTATAAATACTTGATTACAAATTATTTCTTCAAACAAATGTCCGATCGGTGGCGCTCGTCCGGTCGTTGAAATATTTAGTGCTCGGAAGCGCTACCGGAGTGTTTTTGAATAAAACCACAACTTTCGTATAAATCATTCGAGATCGCGTGAAAAAAAATTGCTACAAATTTCTCAACGTCGGCTCTCGGTGACTCGTTAAATCCGTTTCATTTTATACAATTTTTACGCCCGTTCGCAAGATTTGTTGTAACACGTTGTATCTTTTTGTTTTCACGATTGTCGCCAAGATTGCTAAAATCGCTTTGTGAAGAGGGAACGCGACCTCTCCGCAATTTTTCAACGAAAACAAATAGCGGTTCCAAGCTGCGCCGAAAGAGTTGGGAGAGATAAAGCGCGCGCGCGCGCGCGTCGTCGCCCGGGGAACGTCGAGATCTTTCACTCGGAATAACGGATATCACTCGGGAAATCGAGTGTTAAAAAGAAATGCTCGTTAAATGTCTTTTCTATCGGGTTTTTATCGATACTCTTCCCCGAGAAATTACTTAACTCTCTCTCCCGATCGTCTGCAGGATCTGCGAGAAGAGAACGGTACAAAAACCAATTTGTTGGAAGGGAGTAACGCACGTTGGTTCGCGCGATGATTTTGCCGCGAACGATTTTTCTTCGCCGCGTAAAGCAAACATCGTGTCAATAAAGAAAGCGCGATGTGCAAAACGTACGTAGGTGTATGATGATTACGCTAGATTATGATAATTACATGCACAACCGTGATGACATCTCTCTTTCGACGAGCAGAAAACCCTCAAACGGATTGAACGTGAAATTCATCGTGACACGGGCACCGTGTTTTAATCTGTATTTCACATCTCAATTCCCTCGAGAAAGGTATCGTTTGACACGAGAAATTACAAGGATCATCTTGTGAAGATTAACAAGGAAGATTGGCTTCTGGATTAACTGACCTTCTATCATCACACCTTTCTGCGTTACGCATCTTGTAAAGTGTCTTGTTACCTGAAGAAAGATATAGCGAAGAAAAAAAAAAGGATCGCGCCGCCCTTTCTCTCTCACGGTTCCCTTCTCCCCCCCGAGAGATGATTTGTCACGGGGGGGTCAAAAGACTTTGGGATGCCGAACGGTCGGCAATTTCGAGCGGGTGGGTGAAGCCGAACAGAAGGTGTTTTCCATATAGTCGCAGGTATAAGATCTCGCGACTATATTCGCGAGTAAGAGGAGTGGATGTGAGGCAGGTGAGCGGAGAGCGGCGCGGAGAGAGGTGGTTTAGTTCGCGCGTCGCTCCGAGGCCGCCGACGGGGGCTCCGCTGTCGCAGGTGAAACGCTCTCTCAGGAGAACGGACTCAGTCGTAGCCGTGCGATCGCGCTAGACGATATTTACCTGCTGCTGCTGCGCGCGCGGACGTCCGGTAGGAGCGCAGCTCCCTCGAAGAGAGTCCCCCGTCGGAAAAAAAAATTGGGTTCGCAGGACAACCCGCACGCACGCACGCAACACGGCGAGAAACGCACACGAGGTAGGACAAATTCCTCGCGGGTGCGTTATATTTCGCCCGGAGAGACGCGAGAAACGTCACCCGGACACGCTGGATGAATCCGCGCGCTGATGGAAAGATTCGCATCGATTCGCGGTTTCTGTCGTGCGTATCGCTGGAAAATATCAGAAAAGTTTACCGGCAAGAAAAAGGCCAATCGCCAGGAAGCACTTTAATTGCTCTGCGGATACGTAGATCGATCATTTGATGATTCTATCGCGCAGTTTCCTCCAGCTGTGACCGGTGAACTTGGTTTGGTACCGCCGTGAAAGAGAGAATGAGAGAGCACGAGTGAGAAAGAGATAAAGAAAGAGAGAGAGAGAGAGAGAAAAAGAGAGACCGCGTACGTAAAAATGTTTGCGATTTCTTGCGGAAAGGAAATCGATTGATTCGTTTCGCGATTTGACTCGCAGTCAATCAAATTCGCAAACTCGCAGCTACGCCAAGCAATTGAATTTTTTGAGAAGAAGGTGCTTGTTTTTTTTTTGTTTTTTTTTTTGTTTTTTTGTTTTGCCGCTTTGCTTCTATACGCTTGTCCGCCGCACGTGATGGTGATCTCAACGCGCGCTGACAGTATCGGACGAATCGAGGTCGAGCGAGAGTAGTTTCCGATACGGTGCGTGGGTTCTTCTCGCGCGGCGATAGAATTCGTCGGACGCGAGGTCGTCGACTGTCAGCGCGAAAGATGCGCTCATTAACTCCGGATAGGGAAAAGACCGCCCCTCGGGGCAGCCCGGTAGCAATTTTGAGAGCGTGAGTAAGCGGCGCTCGCGCTGGATGCTCCTCCGCAACGCTACAGGCGTGTTTCTCCCCGCTCACACATGTAGAGACTCGTTGACCTTCGTTCCTTCGCCGACGTTGCAGGAGGGTATATACTATACGAAAGCAAACCACGAATCCGACTTGAAAGTTGCGCCAATTTTGGTTCGATTCGCATAGAAAATGTGACGGTGCGCGACGTTGAAGGATATAAACTCGAAATACGCACGAGCGGATAGAATTAAAGAGACATCGAACACACACACATGTATGAACGGTGTGTGATTTGAATTTATTTTTGAAGAAAATTTATAAAATTGTGAGTATTTCGCAGCAAAGCAAGCTCTAAATTTATCATCGAACAAAAGATTTTTATTAAAAACGTTGAGTTTTGTTAAATAGCTAATATTAAAAAAACAAAAGTTTACGTATTTTACGTTTACATTTGATATCGTTTATTTATACAATGTGTTTTATATTTACATACATATTTATTCTTTATAATATTATATTTATTTAATATTTTTTAAATTGATGTTTAAAGCAAAAAAGCGGCTCTGTTAGAACATAGTTACGTAATGAAAGAGCAAATAAAATCCATCGTGGCTCGGATATTTAGGCCGAAACTACTGGAAGAAGGAGGATCGTCCGAGTTATTCAAATCTCTTCGATTATATCATCCGAATATATTATACGAGTCAATTCTGTTGTGAAGATTTGACAAACCTTCAACGTGTATTTGTCTTCGAACAAAAGTGTTTTTTTTTTTTTTTTTTTTTTAACTCGCAGTGACTCACACCTCGCTTAAAACTGTACACTCCTTGCGATCGTGTATTCTGAATCCACATGTACCACGAGCGCAAAGGGGAAAAGCACATCGTCGTTGTAGAGTCGAAGTGCGTAGCGTTGGACAAGTCGTGAAACTTCATTGTTTTTGTCGTAAAAATTTTGAGTTTCGAATTTGCTATCGAATTCCTCATAAAATTTTATCACTATTAGCCAATCTTGGTCGACTAAAAAAAAACAAACAAACAAACTGTTTAAAAAATTCTCTCGCTATCGAACTCGTATTTCCTTCTGACTGGCGCCACGTCAATATACGGTAATTGATCGACGGCCCGATAATCAACGCTTGCACTTTCAAATGTGCGAGTATACATGTGCGAAGCTCGATACGCTCGGTGATGGATGAATCGACGTTGGTCAGAAACCGTTATAATCCAAACGCGAAATCTGTAGAAGAGCAAAAAAGAGTCTATCGACGATTCAAATGACGCGTCGCGCTAAATCAACGAGAAGACTTCGATATTCATCGAGTTTCCATGTATCCGAAAAACAATCTACAAAGTTTTCAAATGTACCCACTGTCATCGAAACATCATAATTTCTCTACGATCTCCATTTTGGCGCGGTGGACAAATTTTAATTTTTTGGATGTTTGTCAGAATGCAATAAAATTTTGTTTTCGCAAAGTGAACGATATTAGATGAGAAAATTGTTTTTGAAAAATTGTTGCTTCCTCTCTTTCGACGCTATCTCGCGAAAAAAGCGCGCGACATATGCGCGTCTCGGTTCTAGGCGCGGCGGAGTATAGGATGATACGCGCGACCACACATCCAAGAGAACGCGACGCCGTTCTATCGATTTTTAAATTAGCCGCATGAGAAAACTTTTCGATACGCGAGAGCGAAGATGGTCAGTTGCAAGCGGGGATGATACGCTCAAGATACGAGCACGACGATCATCTAACACCCTTTCTTGTTTTACTCGAAATTCCGCTTCTCAACCGACGCTTATCTATTTTAGTCGATGTGCGCGTCTGTATGTGTGTTGGTGAGCGCACATCGAATTTTACGCGAAATACACAAAGTTTACGGTATACCGCCGTGAAATTGCATTCGCGAGCGTGTAAATTGCAACGTGTAAATTCGTTTTACCGCTTCTGCCAATCTAAGATTCTAAGTGCGATCGTACACATTCGATCGTTGTGTTCTCTCCTGATGATGGCAACCGCGTTGTTTTTCAGTTATTTTCGTCGACGTGTATACGAGATATCTCTGTATTCTATTGTTCTTACGGCATTAAAAAGACGTCGAATATTTTATTGAAAGTCAGTTCGCATATTGTATTATTAATTAACAGAATTATATTTTAAACAGTATGTAAGACATTTATATCGCAGCTCCTGATTGAAAAAAAAACTGACAATTAATTTCCATGGTGTCATAAAGACCACTCTTGTCTCCAACACAATCTACACAATCAAAATATAAACAATTGGAACTAAGAAACTTCATTTTCAAAATCGTGTCTCAAAGAAAATCAGTTTGCAGAAAAGAAAAACGCGTCCTGAGAAACGTCCTGTAGAATTAAAGGATCTCTCGGAGGTGAGAATGTAAATGTGAGCGTAGTGTGTAACAGAGAGAAGTAGTCGCGGGTAGCCAGGGTAGCCCCGACGTGCGGTATATTGCAAGCTTCGGCTTTTGGGCCTGGCAAAAAAAGGACGAAATTGCGTCTGTATCCCGGCGCGGTTGCAGCGATGGTACCGCCTCCTCGAAAACCGGTCCTGCCGCCGCTGCCCGCTGTCGATTTCGCCTGGCGAACACGCGATCGCCATCTTGGATCCGGCAAGGATGACGTCACTGTTCACGGGGCACGGTCGCTTTATTCACTGCCGCTTACGCGCCTTGCATAGACGCGGATGTACGGTGCGTATATACCTTCGAGAGTCCGAGCGCTGGAAAATCGGATAAGTAACCGATTTAACGAGCAAATATTTTGTTTGAAGTGAAATTTGAAAAAAAAAAGATAAATAAAAAGAAATTAAAAGAACACAACATATAATTGTCGGTAAAATAAACAATTAGGAGCAATATTTCGTTGTCTTTTGGGATTCGTCTTTGTTCCAACGTCTTGCACCATCTCTTCGAAAGTCATCATAAAATCACATTCAACATTTGACGAGACAATTGTTACCGATGCTTTTTATTTTCTGTACAGATACGTGATGTACAGATTTTTTTTTAAATTGATGAACACAGCATACAATTTCGATTAGTTCAATTTTGTCGAATGCAACAATTGCGTTTTAAATAAATCGTGTTCCAAAGTAAACGTAATTCGGAAAATTAATCAATTAGTATAATATAAGAGTCTTATTTGAAATGTTTTTTTTTTTTTTTTAAATATGAATAAGAGTTCCGGCAAACGTAATAATAACGTGGATAATTAGACTTAACAAGAATGCGGTTCCGTCGTTGAGAGATCTTTAAGGAGAATACGCGTATACATAATTCACATGATGCGTGTAATATAAAAGTATTTGCGATGAAATTATCTGTGTTAGACACGCGGACGCGCGTGCGACCGTCGCGATTCGCACGTAATAACGACGCTTTCCGCGTGTAAGCACCGTGAAAGATTTTAATAACCAACGCTTTATTAATGAACGTGAATTAAAGAAATTGCGCAAAGAAAAATGGCCACGTTGCACTTACGACGGTGAATGTAACGAACAGAAATGAATTGTGTTCCCTTCGATGTGTGCCACACGAGTCTTTTTATTGTTAGCGAAATTTATTTCGCAAATTTATCATTTTCCAGCTGGATGCTTCCCTCGGATTGTCGCGTGCAATCCGACGAATCTCGCGCGCAGCCGCAAAATTGCGGTGTTGCGCACAAGTGTATGTCGCGGAAATGTTTTTATTTCAAAATACATATATATATATATATCTTGTTTTAAAATATAAGAAATTTTTCTTGCGTAAATATAAATATATCGTAAATATACGATAAAATCGCAAAAGTATTTACGTTAATACGGTTCGTTCTGTCCCGATCTGTCTGTGCAATTCTTCGATTCGTATATAAAAATACAATGTGTTTTCTATCTATAAGACGTCCTTGACGTAATAACGTTGCACCATTCACTCAGAGCCAGAACAACGGTTTCGCAATAGCAAAAGACCTATTGCTATATAGTCCGGCGGCTAAGCAGCACACACACACACACACACACTCCGCCAGCTGTGTCTCTGCACACTCTGATATTTCGAATTTTTCTCCTGAGACCTGATCTCGTTTGTTATATCCGTTTCTTCGGCACGTGACAAAGAGCGAAACAAGATCGTTATTACGCAGCGATTCTTGGCACGCGGTTACAAGTATCTATCGATGAGAAATTTTACGACCTCAGAAGTTTTACGTTCTTTTTTTTTTTTTACGAGAGCATTGTTTGAATTTTCTACGAATAAATATTGTGACATCGCGAATTTTTTGCTGACACACAAACAATGTCCAATAGTCTTAGTAATCTAATAATCTATAATTTTATATCAATTGTATATCCACCCTTTTCCATACAAGTTAGTTTGCCAAAACGCAGGCCATAGTAGAAGATGAAGTTTTTCGTCAAACGGGCCAAAATGACATTTTTTTTTTTTTTTTTTCATGTTCCAGACCGTAATCGGCATCACGAGTCTGACTCGTCATTATACAGGAAGGAATTAATTAATCTATAAACGTAGTTATTGCAAAGAAAACTAAACCGGTGTTTTAACTCTGCAATATTTATAAAATCAACGTCTCTTTTGGTTCACAATCACCAGGACACCTGGTACATGTGCACACGCGATGAATAAGCTCTCTCCGCAGTAATCCTCGGTTTTCCTTTCGTTCTTTTAATCCTTTAATCCGCCGGTACGTATTATATCTCTCTTACTTTTCGTGCGTTCAGTCGTGCACGACGAATAAATACAACCGCGCTGCACGCTTGTGTGCACGTATACTCTATCTATGCACGCGTGTGCAGCGACGTTGCTCACGAGTGTTGTACGAACAAGCACGTGCGCGCGCACGCGCGCGTGTGCGGCGGCGGTGGCGGCGACCAGTGAAAGTCGAGACTTCGCGCGGCTTTGCGCAACAAGATCGCTGTTGTCTCCTTCGGATTCTAGTTCGACTTTAAAGGCTCGATCGCAGAAAGACATCGAGACATTCGGCGTGGCTGGATGTTCACGTCACGCCTTCCTTTCCAAGTGCGGAAGATAGTAAACGTGAACATCTCTCACAACCAATCGATCACAGAAGTAGTTTTCAGTAGAATTAGAGGGAGAGAAAAAAAGAAAAAAAAATGTTAACAAAATTTTAATAAGTTTTATCTTAATAAATTTTGTTAACATCACCTGTGTATATGTTATTTTGATATAAAAGATATATAAAAGATAGCACACAATATTTACATATTACACATACGTTTATGCAGAAATAATTCAGTTCAGAATATTTTCTAGTTGATAAAATATTTAATATTTAATCTTTTTTTTTTATCGATTGTGCAGCTGTATGTCTCGCATTTCTTTAAAAAAAAATGACAAACTTTACAACCTATCGAGACGTTTAAAACGCAAACAGACAGTTTTAATCGAGTGTTAAACCTTGACTGCCGAGCGCGGGCCATTTGTCTCCTTAATTTCGTGTATTCTCTACTGAACGCGTGTGCTGTTATCGATACCATTTGCTATCGATTTTCGACGCCCGCTCCGACGCTTCTTCTCTCGAAATATATATATACACACACATATATCAGTGTTTCTGTGAAAAACAAATAATCACGACGCACCGACATGATGATGCATTTAATGGGTTTTTTCCTCATTCCCTCTTTCTCGTCACTTTGTTTCTCTAAAATCGTTGTTCTCCTCGCATATTCTTGCTGTGTCTTGTCAGTTCTAATATACGAGCCCTTCCGCTCGCGCCATCTTCGAAAGGTCCTCGGGCCAAGGAAGAATATAATAAATCTGTCATCCTCTCTCTTTTCTTTTTGTCTCTACATGAGACGCGTTTTTATAGTACAATATATACATATATATATATGTACGAGAGACGGAACGTTTGCGGCATACGTCTCTCTCTTCCTCGCCGTGCAGAATTGTCGCCGCCGGGGAGGAGTGACACTTTTATATAATAGTTCCACGTAAAATATCTCGCCACGACATCCGCGTGAGTAATCTCTCAACGGCAACGTGTTTACAAGCGTGTTCGAGAAAAGTTTTGTCATCGTTTCCCGGCAGAAATAAAACTTGCGCCGACACGTAAACCTTCAATTATTTAACTTGTTCAAGGAGTTATTCTAAGCGGAAAATCTAATCGCGGTGATTTACACGCAGACGCGTAATTAATTGCCTTGTGCGAGTCATCGAGTCAGTTATTTCCGATAGTTTTACACAAGCTCCAGCTCCAAATTTAGAGAGCGCAGCTATATTTATAATTAATTAAACACCGGCGCATCTTATGTGATGATGTTACAACGTGTTGTATTTTCTTAAGAGAAACACCAGGACAGAGAGCGTGAAAAAAAAGTAAAAGTCCTTTTAAAGATTCGCGGTGGAAAAAATTTCTAGAAAATTATGTCTCGCTTCGATGCATTTTACGTTACTTCAAAATAGCGCGTTTTAGTTTATCCTGATTAATCTGAGAAAGTTTCTCTGTATTTATACGTGTATGTGCGCATTTGCGAGGAGAGAGTTCGTTCGTATAAAATATTCATACAACGAATATTTTGTTAAGTTAACTCCTGTTGCATAATTTTATGTTTGAGAAATAATGTTTCTTAACTTTCTTATAAATACTTCCTTTATCTTTAGTTTATCAAAACTTTTCGAGCGCGTGTTTGAACTTTATATGTAATCGCGTTCTGAATATTAGAATTGCAAAAAACTTCTTACCCTAGAAAATGCGATATTACGATATATTTATTTTGCGCTGTGCAATTTTGTCCTGTAAACAAATATCGTATATTTTTCTCTTGCACCTGTGTTAGCTGCTTGAAGCAGACACGCAACTTAGTGTGTGTGTGTGTGTGTGTGTAAGAGAAAACAGAAATCCTTAATCAAACACAGAAACATTAAATCTAATTCAGAGAGAAAAATTAAAGTTTAAACATTTTATTTTATAGCCAACGATTTTTCCAACATCTTCTTCCAAGTGTTCGCGTGCAAGTGCAGTTTACTTTGTGATCTTCTTTACATTTCGCCCATCATCAACGCGTTGCGGAGTCGCCGTTGGCGGTGTATCGCGTGGGATATCTCTTGACCTGACCATCATCGAAAAGCCTTGGTGAATTCTCTCGCTGATGATCCTCATTACATTGCGCAGTACAGACACGTACGCCGCGGCTTACACGCGATTGTACACATGTAGGCGATATATTCAAAGGCACACAACCACGCAAAGCGTGTGATAATCGGTATGTCGATCACGTGCCGTCGCCTTAAAAGAATGTTGGCAAGCCGGGATGATACCGGTTCTAACAAAATTTGTCGACGAGCTGTGTCAACAAACGTCGAGTCTCCCGTCCATGTCTGTATAAGTTTGTATACGTGCGTTTGTGTGACAGGAAACGGCCAAGGTTGGCCGGCGCATCGTCGTAGTGTGTCATGGAATCGATTACATCGAGTGTATATTCTCGTCAAAGAAAACCTAGCACAAAGAAAATTTCAAAATAGAAAATCTATTCTGTCTCTTTCTCTCTAAATTTTATAGTCAGACGAAACGACGACCGCAAATCATTCTTGCGTAACGTACAAAGCAAATTTGTATATTAGCCGTCATGTTGTCATCATTAACTGTCAATGCGTAATCTTTTAACGCGTACATGCGTATATTCGTCGCGACGCGCGTCGGCATATTTCACGCTCCGCCGAGATAACTTTCACTAAATAATTCTCGTCGTGTTGCTTCGGTATTTCAGAACAGCGCGCCATGCGACAACCTTAGGAGTACGAGGGGACGAGAGGATCCGGACAAGATCTGCGATCAATAAGCAGCTAAAACCGTTCGAGGTATGTATGTACGACTTGGTTCCTAAGTTAAATACTTTCAACAAAAGCAAACTGTCACTTTTTATCAATTTTGAAAAAACTCTCTTTTAAATAGTAATCCCGAAAAGATATGCAAGTTCTTGAAGAGAAAACAGAGAGAAATTATACTTTAATATGTAAATTTTATTATACTGTGCTTAGCTTTTTAATTTAATTTAATTTTTATTTAATTTCATATTTCTTCTGTTTAATATTCATTCTCTCTCGATGTTTTTGTTTCAAACATCCAGTTTTAAATATATGTGTGGGTGTGTGAGAGAGTTTCTTTTTTTTAATTATAAAAATCGATCTTACTAAAACTTTTTACTTTCTACGAACAAACTTGTGAAAATAAATCTTATCGACAGCAAAACTTCAATAAAAAGAACACGCATTGTTCAGCGTTGATTATATTAACTTTACCGCGTATCACCCATACAGTAACTGTAATGAAAGATATGAAAAGTTTCATCATATAGCAAAAATATAAATAAAATTGATGCAAGGAACTTGCGCACAAATCCTTATAATTATTACTGATTCACAAAAAAAACCTCCGAGTTATCCTCTATTTATCATAATTTATCCATTTATACACATCTCTGTTATTTTCCAAGTGTATCTCTCAGATAGAATTGTGACGTGATAAAGAGATGTAAAAAATTGAAAATTGATCGCAATTACATAACGACCATATCTCCCGGCCCGGACAATTCTCTTCTTCGGAAGAGACATCGCGGTTTTGCGAAATATTTCAAGGAATCTTACAAGGAATTTCATGATTTCCACGTTTCGGGCGGAGATAAACAACAACACCTCGGCGCAGCGGTCAGTATAACCGGGTATTTTGTTACCGTGTACCACCGCGAGCGCATATTACCGCGGTGTAGTCTAACGGTGCAGGCGATCCGGCGCGAGTGCATCGAAGCGTGCCGAGAACTCTCCTTCGTTCGCGGGCATGCATCACGGTTTGCCACAGTCATCGTTAGATGCGCGAGACTCGAGGAGAGCGCGCGCGCGACTTGAAGAGAAGATGAAGAACGAAATGTTTCCATCGATTTCGCGCGCGTTCTCCTCGCTCGTCTGCGGAATTCAGCTGCACATGATCTATCCTTAGCGCGTTAGAGAAATTGAGATAATTCCGGAAAGTCTGTCCGGAAGCTGAACAAATCCTCGACTCGCAACGAAAATTAAATTCCGCAGTTTGTTGTATCAATTAATTAGATTTGTTTGTTTCAATTATACTCTAGATCTATAATTTAAATAAATATACAACTAGAAAATACATAACTTACAATGACATTTGCACATTGATTGTGGATAATTTATTTATTTAGCCGATTATTTTATATTTTATTATTTAAGGGAAAGGAGGTTCATATGTTAGAATTACGTAAGCAACGTAATTATATCGTCCAACGCTACAATAAACAAACTGTTGAGTTCTTATCTCGGTATGAATCGGCTTCGCTTATTATGAGAGTGTTGAGGAATGGACGTTAGGAAAGATTTTTTTACGGTTCTTTTTTTTTTGCCGGACACGGTAACCGAGCGCGGCGATTGCGTTAGCGGAAAGCCGGATATCAATCACATCTTTTTTTTAATGATCTCGCTGCTCATCGTATAATAGCTGCGCCAAAGATATCGCGGCATCTGTCAGTGACGTGAGAAAGAAAGATAGAAAGAGAGAGAGAGAGAGAGAGAAGATGAAATTTGACGGCTGGACACGATGGAGTCCGCTAAGATCTCGCCCATTACATCGGGACGTAAGAGCAAATCTGTCGTTGCGGAAAAGGCATGACTCAACTTTTCTACGAAAATAAATTCTATCAGGGGAAGTATACCGTTAGGTATACCAGTCTCGGTTTGCGAAGAAAGACCTTTCGAGTTGTGCGCTCTCGAGACGAGCCTTCGCTGAGTACAAGTAGTTTGCTGCAAGATATTCTAATTATTCTTGGCACGAAAGGAAGATATAAAAAAATAACATCGGCACAAAAATATCCTCTTTATTCTTGACAAATTAAATTAATTTGTCTCGATATTTCTTTAGTCATTCGAATATTTTTCTCGCGATTCGTTAATCAAATCGTATAATAACGAAGTAATATCTATGTGGTTGTTTTCGTCACTTTTGTGCAGAAAATGCAAATTCAAACAGACAAGCACACACATATGTGCGCGTGTGGGTGTTACTTCTCTTTTATTCCGCGTCTATAGGTTTTTCTCTCAACCTGTTTGTTTCCTCAAAAACGTATCTAGAAAGCAGAAATTGTATCCTTACCTTGTACATTTCCGTACGTATATATTTACATTCTATCGTGAGTGAAATTAACATGATATCGCACGATACCGATGGCTTTTCTATTTCTAGCGACACAGAGTCGACTGTATCATTCGCGCTTTCCATCAGATCTGTGTCGCCGGTGTGTGGTATCGGTGACTCAGAGGTCGGACTCTTACAAACAGTCTTCCCTGTTATGAGTTTGCGCGAATAAGTGCTTTCCATTTTGCCATCACCGACTTGCCATCACCACAGCTAACTTAAGTCAACACACAAAGTCTTAATAAATAGGGAAGCACCCATTGAAACTTTAGTAATAGTTGTTATTTTTGAGATATTTGCCGTGAAGACAAACGCTCGGGGAAGACAAGAATAATTAGGATCATAAAATTATTAGCGTAATAAAGCGTTCTAAAGTACCTCGTTTCTCAACAGCGACGGGAGGTTGGAAGTGTAATATTACCGAAGGGACCATATGTAACATGATTTAACGCTCGCAGTACGTAAAACACACATACGTACACACACACACAAAGAGAGAGAGACAGAGCGCCGCGTTAAAATTTTTTTCAAACTTCGTTTCTCGTGCGCGATTTGTTGAAGCAAGATGATACAGCTGGATGATATTCGCGTCGGAACACATACATTTGCCAATTAAATCTCTCTCTCTCTTGATTATTTCCTATTAACTGTTCTTTTTTCTCCGCATCTGTGTGCACGGCACGCCAGTTACTTAATTAAATAATTAAGTAACCGCACGAGAGATTCGCTGAAGAGCACACGCTTCGCGTTCGGAGAAACGAAATGCAGGAAGCAGGAAACGCCACGATTATCATGAGATTCCCCTGTGATTTCTTCGCACACGTTAATTTTCGCCTTTTGCAATTGAGAGAAGAGACGCAGCTTCTCCGCGTTTAACAGTAAACTGCGAAACGTTAAGTGAGCCTTCACGAACTCGTAACGTAGAACGTTTATCAATTTTTGCGCAACTATTAACCGAAGTGAAACTTGGAAAAGTAAAATAATTAAAACTAACATTCTTTTGTTTGTTTTTGTAAAATTAACTCGCACGTGTATTTAAGCATGTCCGAGTTTTCTTTCTTTGTCTTCCCTCTCTCTCTCTCTCTCTCTCATAAATAAATATATTTCAATCAACGAGTAGAAACTTTACTGTTTTTCCGTAAGCCAATTAATTGAAATTCTGACAATTAGGGTTTAGTGCGTCTAACAAGTGCGTCAATTCAACCCATAGAGCTCTCTATCGGCGAGTTTCTCACGCGCTGCTAAACAACGGCGAGCAACGAACCGGCGAACAATTTGTTGTGCATCTAGTTTTCAAACGAACGGTTATGTCTCGCGAAATTACAAATTCCTCGACGACGACGACGACGACGGCAAGATGATTCACACGCGCGAATGTATTATCGCCGCCAGGAATAATATCGTCGTCAGGCGATTTACTACAAGCAAACGTTATCGTCATTTTTTATATTACACAGACACATAGACTCGAGCGCGCGCACGAAAACGCGCGTAGCGCAACGCAATGCGTATTTTTATGCGCGAGCAGTAATGCCTATAATTTGTACGTTTGCTTAAAGCGCAATTACCGTGCAGGTAAACGTAACAGTATCTCAAAGTAAGTTGTCGAGGCCGCTTTTCGAAAGATGTAATCATTTCGTGTGTTATTACACTTGTGTGTGACATGTCATCTTCGTTTTCGTTATTCGTGGAGGACAAGGTCTCACAATAACACGCGAAGAAAAATCACAAGAGTTGGATAGCGAGCGCGCCAATTACTGAACTTGCGGAATGTTCAGTTTTATTGTCCATAAGAACGGAATTTCAATGTAATCGTGAGATTATACACGTTTATACGTATCAGTTGCGAACATCGACGATTACAATTAATCTTGTTTATCCGTTTATTATATCTCGAGAGGAAATATCATGACATGGGTAACGGCTTTCTCTGCTCCAGTTACGAGTCGCGCCGCCAAGTCTTAACGCGAGAAGGGCTCGAAGTATTTCTACACAGAGTGTGTATGTATGAGACATCATCATCGCACGTTCTTGATCTTCAAGCCGTACAGTGTGCGAAGAATTTCGAGTCTCTCTCTCTCTCTCTCTCAATTATTGCTTAAAAACAAATTCTTATAAATTTTATTTCACTTATATTAATTAAGTGAAAACTCTGTCGTTTTGATTAGTTTATAAGATTTTCTTTGACTTGAGGAAAAAACTTCTCATACACACATTCTGTATAATGAAAATGACGTGAGGATGTGCGTTGGAAACTGCACTAATCACGCGCGGTCTCACGTAAAAGCGAGAGATGCGCACAAACAATGACGCAGTTGAAATATACAAAGGAAAAACTTGCGTTTCTGGAAGTAAGCGCTCGTGAGAACAACAACATCAAGTTGTTTCTTCTAGGCTTTCGAATGATATCTCGAGAAAAAAATACCGTTTCCAATCATTGCAGCACACACGTATAATAATATCTCATCATTTGTTATAAAAGTTTATTACGGCATTAATTAGATTAATTTAATGAGAACTGAATGTGATAATGTAATATATCTATATTAATAATGAAGTTCTTAATCATATTTCAGTTTTCATTATTTATTGTTATTGTATTTCATGTAAATATTTGCATAAATATTGAAAGATTTTTATAACGTATTATTAAATAATTTTTTACTATGTTATATTATTATTACAATAATATTTTCTATTGGTTTCTTTGAAAAGAGTGTGTTTTTTTTTTTTTTTTATGTCTGTCGCTGCAGATGCTGTCAAAGTTCGTTATTACAATCTTGTTGCTCTGGGCGGCAATTCCGATTGCGCTGTCCCAGAGCAACTATGCGTCTCAAGGCAACAGCATCGAATATCAACCGGACCTGCCGCCGAGCACGGTCCTTGATGGCAAGGTTACCAAGCTGGACGACATCTCGCCGGTTATATTTCTAAATCGAACGAAAGCGTATCTAAACTGCGGTCAAGGTAGCATGGAGGTCGAGCTCAAATTCGAGGAGCCGTTTTACGGCGTGGCCTACGCCGATTTCGATCGCAACAGCGCCTGCATATTCAAAGGACGTGGCGCGACCACCGCCAAATTGGAACTACCTCTAAAGGGTAAGCGCGTAATTTTCATATTCATACATTTTATATTCGCTTTTTTTCATCGTACGTGTTTCATAAACAAATTTGTATTTCAGGATGCGGCACAAAACAGGATCCTCTGCGTGTGTTCACTAATAACGTGGTCGTTCGTTTTCATCCCGGATTGGAAATGGACGGAGATGAGGTTATCACTATAGTCTGCAGATATCCTCCACCTATTGCCCCGGCACCTCCTAAGCCGGAGAGAATGTAAGAATGCATTTGTGACATCGATCTGTTTTGCTCTTCTGAACGTCGTCACAGAGTCTTAATTCGCTGCAATTTGATTTTTTGATCTCCCAGATCGGCCACGATAGCGCCCGTGCCAGTAACCGAACCACCGCTGAAGGGCTTCCAGATCCTGTTGATTATCTGCGCCATCTTATTTCTGTCGCTGCTCCTGCTCGGTCTCGGTTGTTCCTACATGTGTCTGAAACGTCGAAACGTGCGCGTGGTCCATCGTCATCCGTTTGAGAGCGGCACCGGTTCCGAGATAACGAAGCTCTCCGGTTCGTCGCTCAGCAACATCACCATGTTCGAGGGTCTTAAGATACCTCGCGCGCACGCTCTTCTTCACGCAACCGCCGCGTCCACGTCCGGTAGCGAGGCAAATCTGGTGATCGATCATTCCGACACGTTGCCGAGCGACTATCCGAGCGAGAGTCATTCCGAGGTGAGTTTTCCGTAATTACGTTTGGATCAAAGATGACGAGTGATGAGCGCGGAACTTATACCAACAAAATGTGAAAGAAGAGAAACGTCGTTAATTCTTTTACACCGCCGAGTTATATGTTCGAAGTTCGAATTTCTTACCGTGAATAAGTAAGTTTCATACATCAATTGTTGTTTATCTCTCTAGGTGGACGAGGAACGTTCGCTGCCGGTATCTTCCGCCGGATCCTACGACAACAAAGCCTTTATTCACGATACTCAACGCCAGGTGGAAATGCGTACTTCGAGTTCGTTGTATTCCGAGACAGTCGCCGCAGAAGTGGAGACCTCCTCGATGATGGCCGCGAACTCTTCCAGGGTGATGGTGCCGCGCCATCCCGTGGCCATTCCGATTGAACCCAAGTTCGACGTGCAGATGAGAGTCAAGAGAGCACCGCCACCGCCGCCGAGCCCGTTGCCGTCGGAGTCCGACATAGCGAGCATCGCGCTCGAGAGAAACCTGACGACCATCCTTGAGAGAGAAGAATCCACTCGCTCGATGGAAAGTTCGCCTTACCGAATGACAACCTTCTCTTACGTTCCCGAACTCCACGGGCCACCGGGAGGCGCCTCGTCCGTTTCCACTATTTCTCGACAGCAAACACCTCCGGTCTATTCTCGAATTCTGCGCAAACAGGCGGAAAGAGAGACCACCGTGATCCAAGAGAAAATCCCGTCGACAACCGAACAACCGCCGTTGCAACATCACGAGATCCGGCGACCGAGATCTTTGACTTCTCTGAATACCGAACTCACCGAGACGCGCTCGCTGACGGAAGTGACGGACGCCTCTCATGCCAAGTATCGGATCGCCAGCATCCTGGCTCCAACACCGCCACCGCCGCCACCGATAGCGCCGACCTCATCGACTACCGCGACCCACACCGCCATTCAACATCGCGAGCACCGTTTGCTGCGCGAGGAAATGACCGAGCCGCTGGTGGAACCGCAAGTGGTCGCGCCGCGTCGTCCGGAGATCACCACGCACGAAGTGGACGATGTGTTCCTGCGCACCGTTACGGAAAAGAAGACCATCGAGGACGTGGAGCGCCATTGTCGCCAGGTTACCGAGTATCGCACGAGACCTCAACCCGATCTCAAATGGGACGTTACTATTAGGAACTATCCGACAGAGGATTTGCCACCGCCACCGCCGGAATGGGAGAATTTCTCCGACGTCAGTTCGGCGTCAAATCTGACTATTACGAACGAGCCGACGAACAATTTAATGGATGACGAACCGGACGTCAATATCGAACCGACTTACACAACGCGCGCCGAGATTCCTAGACCGCCTCCTGCTCGTCGCTCTCTGGACGATGCCGACGCTGACTGGTACAACAGACTAGCGCGCGTCCTGGACCCGCGTTACGCCACCGAGCTGACAGACGAAGAACGCACTAAATGGCGCGAGATCATCACGACAGAGAGCACGCTCCGCACTCTGTTAACCGAGGCTGTGGTCAAAGAGGACTACGAGTTGATACGCAAGGACGCGAGATACGTCAATCTCTTCCCGCCGGCGAAGTGGGACGTGATCATCCGCATCTTGAGCCCACCGTCCGCGCACACCGGCTCTACCTCATCCTCCAGCCACGGAAAGAATCACAGATACAAGCGATCCAAGTCGTCGGAATGGGACACCAGGTCCAGACGGTCTTCCCTTCCAACTCTTTACGAATATGAGAGCGATGGCGGTAGCTCGGCGCGCACTTTAGGCCAGGGTCATCATCTTCAAACGTCACAGTCCGCCACGACCATGGTCAGCGGACAGAGCGTTGGCCGTCTGCGGCGATTGGGTGGCTCTATTCGTTCGCGCGGAACCGTAGCTGGCACCGAGGCCGATCTGAGATCAATGTCCGAGATAACGGTCCGCGATTTCGCCAGGTTGGACCGGGACGATCTGACTAGCTTGAGTTCCTTCGAAGGAGCGGACTCACTGGTCAGATCGCTCAGTCAACCTAGCCTGGCCAGATCGGGCTCGGAATTCACCGAGCACTGGGCCATACCCTCCGGTATTCTGGACCTGCCCCCATGGACGACCGAACACGCGGAGGATGGTACCAGCTCTATAGAGACGACACCGAGACCGATTAGAAGGGGCGACAGATTGGAGGTCCTCGCCTCTTTCGACGACCACAGACGAGGTCCGTCCATCACGAGATCGAGTCGATTCACCGAGCGGGAGCTTAACGTGCGCGTGACGGAAAGTCAAAGAGCCTCGGATTGGTTCAACGATAACAATTCCGAGCCGGAGATGCAGATCTGAACGTAATAAAAAATCGTAGATTCTCGATTAGAGTTTCAACATTCTCTTTATACGAAAACGATATTTTGTTTTTTTTTTTTTAATCTCGATGTAGAGAACGTTTATGAATTTCAACACACACAGCATCAAATTTTATGTCCACTTTATTAAATCGAAGATCGAAGTATAATCTTTCGATTCTTTCGAACAGAGTGAAATTTTATGTTTTTTCATTTTAGATTTTAATTTATACAAAAACGCGTCGCTCTATGTATATCCTTTTTATAGACACTTTTGTAAAAGTGCTCACGTGATGCCCACGTATTATAATATATACGAGTGGACGCGTCGCGCGCTTTTATTTCGCTCTCAAGCGCTTCGTATATGATCAATATCTTGCCAGAGGAATGACGCCTAAATGCACGCTACGTGGTGGCGTATAAGAAAATAACGCTCCGCGGCAGTCGGTATAAAATTCGTTTATTTTCGCGGCAACTATATAGTTCGCGCTGCTTTCTTCTTTCCGTTTATTATATATCGCTGCCCTATTTTCTTCGCGCGTCTCATGGCCGTTCACTGCCACTTTTTCTTCCACGCGCGACAGCTCAAGGACTACAAACGTTCAACCGCGCGGAATTTCCGAATTGTTCCGGATTTTTCAGGAAGAACACCGTCTCTCTGAATCGTATCCTGAAATTTTTCGGGAAATTCGGTCGCCTCCGTCTTCACACGTCACTCGAGAGATTAACGCGAAACGCAGATCGAACGCGAGAGTTTCGATTTCGAGGCGCGAGTGAGTCTGCAGACTTTGGCGGTATTATATACACGCACACAATTTTTACGAAAAACTCCAAACAAAAAGCCCTCGTATTGCCTTTTGTTACCATCATTTCGCCGCAACCGCAAAGTGAACCACAATTGTGTTTGCGGATATGTACATTCTCTATAAAGCTGTACAACCACAAATATTTTGCACAACAAAGTATGCCGAAAGTCTACCGAAAGTTATACATTTTAGTAGACTAAATAAAAAAAAAAACAAAAAAAAAAAAACAAGAAATGTGGTAATTGTTTTATAATCGATATAGAAAAACACACTTGAATTGTGACGCAAAAGAAAAAAAAACACTGTGGAATGACAACTGAACGATGTAGAATAATCGCGAGAAGGGGAGGAATCGCGCGCGCAGCTCATTCTTCCCAATCTCCGCTAGATCGCGAAATCTCTTCTTGGAGATCGCAGGGGACCACATGTAGCACACGATTAAACCACCTCCATATTGGCGGTACAGCTGCGATAATAGTCTATTTAAGTAGATAACGAAACACATGGTGCTGGGTTATACGCTTCAAATAATAGCTAGAAATCTCTCTCCTTAAGAACATTTACCTAATCTCCTTCTCCTTTACCCTTTCCCTGGGCTCTCTCCTATCCGATCTATTAATGTAATTCGTCGGAGCGCCTGGGACCACGACCGAGATTGAGCGTCGACCAGGCGCGGTATGCTCGCGCGTAGATAATACTTGTAATTATTTGTGTATGTGGTGCCTACTAAATTACCTAACCCTAAATCACGGTGCCTACTTAAAGCCTCGAGTAAACCATCCCCCGATTTTCCAAGTTTTTGCTCGTCAAATTTCCAGACAAAATTGGAATTGCATTATTAAAAAGCCCGTATCTCTGAAGCAAACTTGATTATTTTTTTAGATGTTTTTTGTAACCCCGGAGAAAGAATCACAGGGAATTTGAAACGATTCTTTCTCTCTTAAATAATTAAGAATAATTAAAAAAACGGAAGATAAACTCGAAATGTTTCGGTTGTTTGTTAAAATTTAAACATGCGAATAAATATTGAATATTGAAACAGAAATTTTTTAAGTCTCGATAATATTCTCGGGGAATTTTTGAGGCTTAATCCTTATATTTTTTTTTTCATACATAGAGATGAAAATTCCTTGAGAATTTTAAAAGTTTGTAAGCTAGTAGTAAGGTAAATACCGTCGCTGATGCGCACACGTACATGTATATTAAAATTTATGCTTCAATTTGTGTGTTCAACTTACTTACGCTATATACTTTCGCGCAATTCATTTACGAACTTACGAAGGTCTTCCGAAATATTGTGAGTCGCGGGGGAAGAGTTTGAAAGTTTGCAAATTTCATTAAATAACATGTACATTACGACGAGAGTCATTGTTCCCGCGATTGTGCTTAAATTGTTTTTGAAATTTTTCTATTTCTCTCTCTCTCTCTCTCTCTCGCAGTCATTATCTTCGCAACTTTGTTTGTATTTCAATTAACAACACGACAGTTATTCGTTTTGTTTGCATGCTGTTAAAACTATGAAACACATTGCTCGCGAAGCAAAATGAAATTGTATTAATTTTTGAAATATCGAGCTTATTTCTGGGGAAATATTTTTGTGCGCGATTTTTTCCACAAGCACATTAGCGTACGTGTACGTAAAATATCGCAGAAAGTGAAACAAAACAACCATGTAAAATTATTTATATAAATTTTATATTATATAGAAAGAAAAGTTTTTTTTTTTTTAAAAAAACACGTGCGAGTTATTCGAATTATTCGAGCGCTGTATATTAATGAGATGTACACGTTTGTATTGTAATTTATTACACATTGTGGCTTTCATTATTTATAATTACAATATCTTACGGCAACACCAAGAAAACAAAAACAAATCGAGTATTGTATTATTTGTAAGCAGGTTCACGGTGGAAATCGATACATAAATAAAAGAGCTCGTAGAAACTGCGTTCGATATTTCAAGTCCGAGTCAATTGTTTGCGAGATAAATCCGTCCAAGGACTTGGAATCGATATTATGCAATTTGTGCATGTAATTTTTTTTCTACGAAGTTTGTAAAATGTGTATGGTGCGTAGAAAGTAATCGTTCACTTTCTTATAATATATACATATACATATATATATATATATATAACTGTAAATCAAAAGTGACAATAAAGTTACGCATATTTTAAATCGTCGAAGAGAACATCACATGCTCTAAGTGCGCACGCTATAGCGATTCGATGAATAAACGCGCAGACTATAAAAAGAATATTAAACACAGAGATAATAGAATGCGTTCAATCGCATTTTGCGAAATTATATTAATAATTCATCAACGTCGGAATATATTTTCAATGTTTATTTACATCAACTTTTTCAAAAGCATCTTCTGAATAAATAATATTGTTGTTGCCAAATTCGGAGAAAAAAAACAAAATGCTTGAGATGCAAGAAAATTAAACAAAGAACTTATACACGTAAGTTACACGGAAGTAACACGAAGTTAACTCGAAGCAAGAATGTTACAAACCGCCGAACGCTTTTTATCAGGTGTGATTAAGTATTCGAAATTAACATAATAAATTAGTACGTAACTTAGATCAACTTATATTTTTATATCGAGCTGTGTAATAGGCGAAAAAAAAAATTTGCTTTTTGATTAATCGTTTTCTCTCATTCAAATTGAACGTAATGTAACATTCGGTCAAGAAATTTAAATACACGCGAGCGAAGTGTATTATTTCTATTAAAAAATTTGAACTTATGCAACATTTGATTCTCCAGATGAAACAGAGTAAAAAAATATTGTGTACATTTTAAAAATTATAATTGACTTTATGTATAAAATATAAAACAATAAATTTAAATCGATTCACTACCAGTTATGTTACATTTGTTGTCGTTCGATTGGCGGTGTGAAACGTACATATAAGTTTAAACTTCTAATAAACGCTGACAGAGCCGCGACCCAACGTGTGTGTTATAAATCAATGTAATCCTCGTTGCTTCATATGTATTACTCCGAGCGAAATTAATTTACACAGCTCGAGAAAGAGACGTGTTGTCGAATTTATGATAAAATGGCGTGAATTCGACGGTAATTAGATTTTTGCCAATAAGATGGAAAATGTAACACGATCTTTGAACGAGTTCACAGAGAGAATTTAATTATTAATAAAATTGATTACTAAAAGTTGTTCCTCTCTCTATCATTATTCTTATTATTACCGAATAAAGAACTTTATCTTTCATCTTTATTCTTCGTCTCTTAATCAAGTAGATCACGACATAATATTCATTTTCATTTGCAACTTAAAAATTAACCATTAAAATCGCAAAATGACTTTCCGAAAATTAACGAGAGTTCTCAAACCTCGCAATCCCAATAAATAAAATGTAATGTAAAAAAAAAACCGCAAAAATTTTCTACGAGTAATTCCAAGAATCGGATCCATTAATATCTATTTTTTTTTTTTTTTTTTTTCAGGCAAGCTGATATTGCCGAGTAATTCGTCATTTTCAGTTCATATCAGTGATAAGTAGACTAGAGACGTAAAGAACGTAAGAAATAGCACTCGGAAAGATGCCGATGCGCAGCATCTTTCGTGATAACCAGATTGCATCGTCGGCGAGAACTTATCCCGGGCGTTTCGCAGAACAATTGGACGCCGGTCTAAATTAATTACGAATCGGGAAAGAATTCCGCAAAGGGGGATTTATTGAGATCGACAGCAGCCTCGGGCGATCAGAGAAAATGATTCCGAGGTCTCGTCTCAAAGTAAGAAATAGAAAGAGAAAAACGAAAAGGACAGGACTCTCTTGTACTTCGTCTAGAAAAACGAGAGATAATATAATATTTATAAAAATAATTAGTGCAATAAGAGAGAGTATTATGTTAATCGTACGTCTAATTGGCAATTTTTTAATTATTATATTTTGTGTAAATTCATATTAAATAATTAACAATTAATAAAAAAAATAATTTTTTCTCAAGACACGAGACGTGCAAAGGTGCAAAGGCTTCTATAATTATGAAAAAAATTTTCTTGATCGATCTCTTCGGCGGAAAAAGATGCGCCAAGACGCGTCGCCTTTTTCTTTCCTATTCCTCGAAGATATATGCGCTTGTTTTTCGAAAAACAAGTCGCCGCGCGACGGTTCGTCCGTCCGCGCCGAAGAACGCTTTCACGTACTTTCCTTCTTCGACCACGCGCGGCAGATCGACGCATGCGTTTTTCCTGCGCGCCCGCGTACCCTTCGCGGAATTATCTTGGCCGTGAATCGAACAGTCTTCCGCGGTCATTCTCGAGCTTGCTTGCGATCCGCGGGGGCGCACACCCTCCACCGCGGAAATCGCTGTCGCGACCGCTCGGCGCACCGCGTGCGTATCTTACAAAACCGCGATTACGTAACACGCGCTTCAGTGGCACGCGAAACACATTTCCTGTGCGGTAAATATCGCGGTGTATTCTCGGCAAGAAGACCTGAAAGGGGTGACTCAAAGGGGTTGCGCGATATATATCTAAAGACACGTGCTGCCTTCGAGATGAGCGAGAAAATCGTGACGCACGTGAGAACACGCATAAAATGTCAATCGTCTGGGAAATTCGGGAATGGAGAACGTTATTGATGGGAATCGATGTTGAAGAAAGTTTGCCAAAACTTGGAGAGTTCGCTCCGCGAAACATGCAATTTCAATTCGCAATTCGCGCGACCGTTCCCATTAGAACATCAAGATTAATTATTATTGTGTAATGTTTGACAATGGAACACGTCGTCGTCGCTGATTGTGAGTTGCGAAACTAATTACATACGTTCATTTAGGATGTACTTGTTGCGAGACGTTTTATTTGCGTCACAACGGCGCGTCACGCCTCAACTATTTAAAAGGATAAAATAGCTGTCTAAAATATATATTAATTACGAGTTAGATGGTGTATATTTCGTATATACACGGAAACTCGCTCACCTAACGACGTGTAATTGCGTTCAAAGTTTCGTCGTGATTAATGAGTAAAATTTTAATATAGAAAATGACGTATAACATTTTTATATAATACGCAATGTGTTCGAGCAGAAAGTTTTAAAATTGATTGCAGAACTTGGTGAAATAAAATTTTACATATACTTTATATTATCAAATTTTTTTTATCGGATCGGCAAACGAGAGAGTGCGGCTAACGATTATCTTTAAAAAGCTCCGCATGCAAAGTATGCAAAAACTAAATTAATTGCGTGAATCCAAAGCAGCGTATGTATTGTTTTTGCTGTCGTAAAAATGTTGATGACAGTATAGATGTGTTTTAACGTAACGCACAAGTAAGAATCACACGCACATTTCTATTGTTCTCTCAGATAATTTTTCCGAAATTTATTTATTTATTTGTACTTGAAGTTGAAATTTTCAATATATATAATTTAATATAATTTTCGATATATAATTAATTGTCGTGGTTCTCGCGATGGTTACGACAAATGGTCTCAATTTATTTTCGCAACGTTACTTAACAACCGTATATATAGTGTGTGTGCAATTTATCGGATGTTTATAATTACTTAAGATATTTATACGTATTACACCAAGTATTGTAAAGTTACAATAAACAATGATATTTTTAGCGTTTTTTTTTTCAAGAGAAAAATAAGCTGTCAATTTCACATAAAAAATTGTCGCGAGTTAACGATTAACGTGTTTCGCGGGTGCGTGTTGTGCGTTTTAAGGTTTTAATACGTGCGCGCTCGCGTGATGACACCGCATATTTTCGAGGCAATAAATAATGGAAGAGCGTGATGTAGAACGCACTTCTTAACGCGAACTTGCTTTACGAACTCTGGAAGAATCCCTCTCTCGCGAGAGCTCGTGCATAGTTGATGCGCAGCAAGGGCTCGTGCACGATTACTCGTTTAAAGGGTAGGCAATCGTTCACGCACGGATAGCTTCACGACACACAGACGCTACGTGAGCGCTTCGAAACATAAGCGAAAGAGCTCGCGGAATAATTTTCCAAGTTACGTTTCACACTTATCTCACATTAAATTTATCTCAGTTAGCTTCGGTTACGCGATCTCGACTCTTCGGCTGCAGGATGAGAACAACGTTTCGCAAATTAAAGAAAACTTGCACGTTAATTTATATACACACTTATATGTAAACTTATTTATTTATTAATACGTGCGCACACGCACGCACACAGGAAAAAAGTGTAATGAAGGACGTTTCGCGGTAAATTAAACAAAATAATCTCTATCGTCACGAACGTTTTGTTGTCGGGAGGATATAAAGGTACGTAACAGATTTATCTTCCTCGACGACAATAATCACAATACGGAGTGACTACATTCGCAGCGTTCATACCTGGCAACGGCCGCTGACCAGCGAGGCGCGAGCAATAGTTTATTAGCCGCGCACTCGCGCGCGAATTGCCGATACCAAGAAGAGAAGAGAAGAGAAAGAGAGAGAGAGAGAGAGAGAGAGAAGGGAAAGAGAGTATATCTACGGGCGAGGGATGATGAGGGTTATGTGGGGTGCCGACGATGGTGGGGCTAGATGGTGAGCACAGCCACAGAGGACGACGCGAGTTATGGTGGAGAACGTCGGCGAATGGTGGGGTCGAAAGGTGGCGACGGCCATTTACGCTCATATGGGATAAACCCGTGTCTACGATCAGTCGGTAGGCCACGGAAGAAAAGCACCAGCTGCCACAGAGGATCGCGAAAAGGGTCGCGGAAGACTTGCGGAAACGATCCGGAAGAGTTCGCCAAGATGACGGCGCTGCTTCCGAAGAGACATCGCAAAGTGTTGCCAGCGAAGATGCGAGAGTGGCAAACAACATCTACCTCCGCGAAGACGGGGGAGATTCGATTAACGAATTGATCTCTCTCTCTCTCGACAAGAGAGTTCTGCGAATAACTATCTCCGAGAAACGCCAAGGAAAGCGTCGTCAGTCGCTGTAGAGCGAGGCACAGCAGCTGTGTAAGGAGCACACCCGTAATCGAGAGGGATTCATGTTTATTCCGTAAACGTTTGTTCGAGAAGTTTGAAACGCGGAGAATGATGCTGCCGCCTCCGCCTAAGATCCTCGCGGCGGAGAACTGGGTCTGGCGAGGATAAACTTCCTCACAGAGGAAGAGATTCGCCAGCCGTGTGTGTTGCGAAAACGCTCGCGCTACTCCCGGAGGAGAGAAAGATATAGACGTACTTTGACGGAAAGTTCTCGTTTCGCGGGCAAACATCGCGAGCCTACGTGCGACGAACAATTCAACTTGCGCGGAGATCGATGAAGCATCAGTCGACGATCTGTCGGCGAAAAATGTGAAACAACACCGCAGAATTGTGAAATTCGAACTTTTGATGATTATCAAGTTTATATCGTGAAAATGAGTTCACTTCGTAGAACGCTTAATCAGTCGGCGAGAGAAGGCACGTCGATGAGGAGACACGCGCTTTCCGGACCCACCACGAAGAGCATGAAGACCGTGGTTCACGCGAACGCGGTGCCGGTTTCGCCGCTGCGACACAGATCCAAGTACGAGCTGCGAAGCATCAGCTTGGAAGGCAACAAGGTCCTGCCATGGACCACCAGGTCAGTGGATTTCTCAGTTTCTTTTTTTTTCTCTCTCCTTCTTTCAGCAACAAAAGAAAGAAGCCCCGCAACTGCGTTACCCATTAAATTATCGGTGTGTTTATCAATAAAGTATATAGAAAAACATTGCTATTATTTTTATCTCAATTTTTATCTAGTGATTTATTTTTCTTGTGAAAACAAAAAATTTTATTTTGTTACAACGACACACATTTGCGCTAATTACAAAGATGTGATGCGAAATGCAAAATTAAATACGAAAAGAAACGCGAAAAATATAAAATAATTATGGCGCGTTCTTTCTAAAAATTCGTTTTGTTTTGTTGAAAAACAAAACTTGAATTTTATTTACTTATTGTGTTGTTTTTATTAAATAACGCGTAACAGAATGGAGAGAAAAACCGTGTGCACACGTGTGAGTAAAACAATATTTTTAAAAAATATTTTCAAAACCTAGATTTTCGTACGAACAGAAAAATAAAAAGTTCTCGCTAGAACTTACCCTAATCTGTTATGCTCCGCGTAAGGAAGAGCTTTTATGGAAAAACTTGAAAAAAAAAAGGTAAGACTTGGGAAGTTTCAATCTTAATTCCGACAACTCTGGTTTGTGTTTAATACGGTCGACCGTAGAGCGAGCTTGCGAAAGCGTGTGCGTTGTGTAATGGGCAAAATCAATTTTCTGATGTTCCTATCCCTCGTGTTGCCTTATATGGGCATACGGAACAGACACAAGACCGCACCGACTTAGAAGTTTAATGAGTCTAAAAGATTAGGGCATTAAAGACGATACAAAGCCACGAGCAAACCAGTCAATCGAGTGTAAAGTCGAACAATCGGGGTCCTCGCAATTGATTTACTGCCGCTGTTGCTTGCCGTGATATTGATTGACGAGGATTTTCGTTCTTCTACAAACGATACTACAGCGCTTAATTATTTAATGACAAAAGCAAACTTTAAGTCTTCTCAGTCTAAATTTTTCGTGTACAAACATACGATATCTTATTAACCACGGCAAGAGATTTTTTATAACAGAATTAAACAAATCGAAATTGCAGAATTAACAAAGCAATTTATAATAAAAAATTAAACTAGCAAAAGAATTATTTACATTTTATCAAATAAAGTATTTTTGCTTTAATGTATTTTTAAATTTGAATATTAATAGTTGCTATTAATATTCAAATTTATATTTAATAGAGATATATTTAATTAGTGTATAAGAGAATATTACAATGTATATTGGGGAAATTGTTATATAATTATTAATATTATATAAGATTGTACATTAGAGGTTGTTATAATCATTAATATTTATATTATCATATCACTTAAACAAAACCATTTCATTAAAATGAAATATATATTAAACTTGACTGTGAAAAAGTTTAAATTCTTTGCAAATTCTCATACATGCGTAACCAGATTAATGTGATATGAAAAAAACTTTGCAATTTAATAACACGCTGAAAGCAAATATATTTCAATCCTGTTATACGACACTATTAGTCTGTAATGAGCATTGTACGCTCCCTCGATTTATCATTTCTTTTTACGACACGTGTATGATGGTGTGTCTTAAAAGCCTGTCCTAAAAAGAATTTTTAGCTCAAGAGCTCGTGTAGCGAGCAATAATGCACGCGTAATTTTACATAATCGCTGTCTTATTAAAAAGTGAAGCAACACGCCATATACCATAAAAGTACGTCCGTTTTCTGCGAGCTGCTTACAAGCGAATACTTTGATACATTTTATCTACGAAGAAAAACGACGTTTGTCGAACATTTATTTTATAATAGCGACACACACACACACACACACACACACATTGCGACGTAAATTCTCGAAAAAGTCGGTCCAACGTCTAGAGAAAAAAATTTCAATTGAACGAATAAGCGCGCATGTGTGTGAGGGGACTTGAAAATTCAATTAGTTTATCCGATTATTAGCAATCCCGAGTAATTAGCATCAACGAGTGGAACGTTAACGGCGATCTCTAATTGAACTATAATCTAGTTAACTGACTGTACGCTCAAACGTCATTTAAATTGCATAATAATAAATTCGACCGTCGGATAATTGACTGCGATGCTACAGACATTTCTGGTCGAACGTTTTTCTCCTAAATACTCGAAACAATTATACACCTACTGTATATACGTGGAAAATATTTTTGAAAATACTTTTTTATTTCTGGAAAATCCACGAGGGCTCCGAACAATCGAAAATGAAGAGCGGAGTTTTTTGACTCGAGCATTATTACACACGATTGTACGAATACGCGCGATGCTGTGATTTGTAAGAGCGCTTTGTTAAGTTGGGTTGAAAACTTACTTGAAAGTCAAGTTATGTCTTGGAAGGAAAACGCGCGCGCGGGGCACCCGTACGCGCGGATATTCTTGGCGCATCGTTCGGCTGCACGCGGCCGGACACGTGCCAGATACATCGAACGCACGGTAAAGATATACCAAAACGACAGATGATCCCTTTCCCCGGGATCCACCCTATTATTTCTGATCAATTTGCCAACGTGCGAGGCCGCTGCGCGTTATCGTTATGATGCTACGCGGAGGTCGCATTTCCAGCATCGATTTTTAATATGCCCGCCAGCGCAGCACATTAATTAACTCCTCTTAACGACCGGAGCATGTCTGAATTAATTCCGCGCAGGAACATTTCCGTGATGTAATCGACTGTTGCGTTTAATATGTCATATAAACAGCGGCATGATCTCCCACACGGAGGAAAAAAACCTTTAACAAAAGAAGAGAAAGAAAGAGAGAAGAGAGAGAGAGAGAGGGGAAGGAGGGAAGGAGAAAAATATCATACTTAATTATACTGAGAAATCTCTTTGATAAAATTAAATATCAATACTTGCAAATAATTACAATTACATACGTGTAGAATATACAGTGTAACAATTTTACACGCTTGTTACAAACTAGTTAACAAGCTTTGCCGTACGCTAAATGTTCAACAATTACACATACCGTACCCCGTTGGCAATTAGTTATAACTCGTATATCACGTTGCGTAACTCATTTATTTATTACGCGCTTGTGAACGTATTATTGCAACACTATATCGTTATAATTAATGTTCCGAAATCATCATCGGCAACGTGACGAAATATTTAAACAATTTTATGACTATTCGATCACAACTGTGTGTTGTACACACACACGTACACACACACGATATGATATTACTATACTTGAGTCGCTTTAAAAATTAATCGCTTTATCTATAGCAACTAAAGCCGTTCAAGCGAAACACCATCTTCTTTATGATCCACTTTGTTCCCCTGAGAGATAATGAGATTAACCCTCCCTGCAAAGATGCGTAAACTACCAAAAGCATATGTTCCGTCATAAAGTGTCTCTCCCGCGCGCCGGGTAATTATTTATATAATTTTAGCGGGACAATTTTTCCGCATTCTAGTACAGCAAAGAATCTCTTACACAAGAATACGAACTGTAAAAATTTAACTCATCGAAATTTCGTCGGAATATCACGTTTGTCGTATGTTTCACCATCGAAACATTTGACATCCTCAAAAAACTCCCCTGAGAGATTCGGCCGTTATACTTTTACATCCCCCCAGAAATATTTGTCGAGTTTTCTCGAGTGGAAAATACTTCTTATCACAAAAGAAAATAAATGTAACTTAAAGTAATGTTTTCTGATGTTACACGTATATAAATAAATAATAACACAAAGTATATAATGTAAAATACATAATAATAAATAATAATATAACGTAAATGTATATATATATATATATATATACGTGTATTTATATTATACGCAATTTATACATGCACATGTATACATGTATATATTTTAAACATATAATTATATCGTCTACAGTGTTATCTACGTTTTCAATTTTTTACGTAACTACACGAACAAAATATTTTTTTCTGTTGCAATTACGAAAGTTTCTCGCGCGTCAACAAAATCGCAAAGTATAACTTTTCACGTCAAATATATATAGCACCATCAGATACAAGGAGGACCCCGATTCGGGGCGATTCAATTGCTGATGCTAATCCGGGAAAAGTAGCAACAACAATATCGCCGACAAGTGACGATATTGGATTTCGGTGCCTGGCTCTTTATAATTAACCCTTTTGCTATTGGACTGGGCCGAGTGTCCGCTGCCGCTCTTTTGTGTCAAGCCGATCAATCTCGATTACGCTCGACCGAGCGGAAGTCGACCGCGGCATCTCGGTGACGAGAACGAGTAGATCGAGAGAAGGGCGAGAGAGGAGAGGCGGAAATATGGAACATATAAGGTAGGTGAGAGAGAGAGAGAGAGAAAGAGAGGAGTGGGGTGAGAGGAAGGAGAAAACAGGGAAAAGAGATGCGCGCGAGGAAAAACGGCATTACACGGTCAACCAGGTGGACAGTTCGAGAGTTGGCGGACATTATGGCAAACTCTGACGAACAAATTCAAGCGTTTTCGATAACTCCCCATGTCCGCGAGAATATATCGTCGAATTACGTCACTGCATTGCTCGATAACTCGCATTCGAGAAAAAACACGATGTATATATATTGATTTTGTTGATGCACAAAACTTTTCTCGGTAAACGAGCGACGACAACGCGCCCTGATCAACGCGATCAAGGATATTGATGCTTTGATTGCACATTAAACACAAGTTAATGCGCCCTTCGAAACCTTAGTAGCTTCAATGACCTTCGGTCGTTGAACCTTTCTCGATAGATGTTTGACGGGAAAGGTGAATATTACCTAATACATCGGATTTTATCGCGATCTTTATCGAACTATGAATAGCACTTACGTAATTATATATATGAGTACGTGTGTTAAGTAGATATGTGTATTTTATACATAAGCTTGAGATATGAAATTACAAATAGAATAAAGAAGTAGACCGAGAGAAGAGATAAATTTACAACAAATAACAAAAAGTTGACGATAAAAAATTTGAAATAAATAATAAACACGCATAAATAAATGTATAATATTGATTA